AGGGAAGGGGAAGGGAAGGGGACGGGACGGGGAAGGGAGGGGGAATGTAAGGGAAATGAAGAGGAATGTTAGAGGAGATTCATGCGAGGTACATGGCAGTGGGGTTAGTTGTGTTGACCTTGAGGGAGTTAACGGACGTCTCGACTTCGTTCTTGAACAGCTCGCTCCTGCATCAGCCATCGCCATGAACACGCAGAGACACGCATACACACACACGTCGAGGCACAGTTGTCAGGGAATCGCAGAAAAAAGCTGTCTGAAACGTCGCACAAACGCACTGACGGTGATAACAACCACTGCCAGAATCGCACGCACGTGTGTCACGTTTCAGTTAGGACGGCGTCGCTTTCGGGAGTGGAAACTCACTGTAGGAAATGGCACATGTTGGGTGCGTCGATGAAAAACGCCAGGAAAACCGAGTGCTCGTGATCGCTCATGCTGTTAATGCATTCCTCCTCTTCCACCCCCTGCTCCTGTTTCTCACTCCCTTCCGCTCGTCCCTGCATGTACACTTGCAAGCCGCTGCCTCTCTTCTTGCTGCTGCTGCTGGAGCGACAGTCAACGGGCGCGCGACCGGACGAGGCGAGGAAGCAGTTGGTTAGTCTAAGCGCCAGCTGGGCCTTCCACGCTTCGTTACGGAGTATCTCTTTACACGAGCCCATTAGCTGCTGATACGCCGTTACCCAGCAATTGTCACCCTCCCCCTTGCCAGGCTCGTACGCTTCGACACTCCCATCCGCGCGCCGAAACCCCTCTGCGCGCTCCTGCAGCTCCCGGCCTTTCCGTTCGCCGCCTCTCGCCGTGATGCTCAGACTCTCCGCGTCGAACGGTGCGACTGCGTTTCGTTCCTCTCTCCCTCGCCGTGCTGCTGCTTGCTGCTCCATTAACGCATCTGTTCGTTCGCCGCTATTCTGTCGTGTGCCGTCGTTTCCAAGTGATGGCGGTTCGGCTGAATGCGTTGAAGGTGCTGGTGGGGATGTCGAGCGAAGAGTCGACGAGAACCAGGAAAACGAGTGTGTGTGCTTACACGACAGCAAGAGCAAGACGAGGAGCAGTGTGCACGATGGTAGTGGAGCTGTTCTTACGCTCGACATTTCGACGCCACCGGGAATTAACGGCGTGAAATGTTATGACTAATGTGTATCTGAGAATCCTCCTAAAGCTGGTCCTGAGACGAGACCTTGGGCTTGCGAGACCTCGCAGCTACTCGCTCAGCTGCCGTAATCGTCGCTTCTCCTTACTAGTGCTACCTCCCCGCCAAAAAGTTGAAGGGTCCATCCTGCTTCGTCCGAAATTATCGGGAGAACAAACCATCTTGGGAATGTCATACACGATGCAACATTCTCTGTTCGTGTTCTTGTACAATGATCAGACTATATAGTGTTCCACTTCTGGAGAAGTATTTTCATTGCTTTATTTACAAAATGCTTGCGTACATAAATGCAGGAATGATTTTTTTTTTGTTAGAGATCAAACGCAAGATGCAAAACAACTGCTTGTACTTTTCGTCTGAAATAAAAAAACGTAGCAGTAGGTTCGCTATTTTTTTCTGAAATTTTAAAGCACAATATCAGTCCAAATTGCTGGTTTTTGGTAGAATCTGATGAGTGATTTAGGTAGCATTAAGTACCCTATCCTAAGTTCGACATAAGTGTGGGTTATTTGGATTGCCATAACATGGTGGCGATTGCGAGAATATGCTGGCCGTTTATAACAGATCCTGAATGCCGGGATTCCTTCTCCCTGCCCATGACAATCTGGCCCCGAGCATGAATGAGTTCCTGCCTGCATTCACATTCAAGCTCTGACCTGCCAACATGTCTCCCACCCAGTGGCACCTATGGCTGCATCGTCGCTCTTGTTTCCCTTTTGTTCTTCTCCTTGGCCTCCTCGTTTCCATCATTCTCCCATTCCCCCTAGCCTCTGCCAGTACTCCGCATCCTCCGACGCCGCCGGCGCATGCCAGCCCATTCAAGGTCTGCATCGTGGGCGCCGGGATTGGCGGCGCCTCGGCCGCGTATTTTCTCCGCAATGCCTCCCGCGCTCTTGAATTTGCCGTTCAGCCTTCCGTTTCCGAACTGGACATTCACGTCTTTGAGCGCGCGGGGAGGGTGGGCGGGCGGACGCTGCTGCTGAAGGTGCCGTTGGGGGAAAATTCAAAGGGGGAGCAGGCGGAGGGGGATGTGGTGGAGGTGGAAGCTGGGGCGAGCATTATCCACGGGAAGAACCTGCACCTGGTGCGACTGGCGGAGCAGCTGGGGCTGGAGACCGCGTCTCCCGCTGACATGGACTTTGGTATCTGGGCCGGCCAGTGCAGCAGCAGCAACGGCGGCGGCGGCGGCGGCTCTAACAGCGGGACCAGCGGGTGCAGCGGGGGAGGTTTTGTGTTCCAGGAGTGGAGGCTGGGCGAGGGGGCGGTGATGCGGTGGGTGGCGGACTTGGTAAACGGCGCGCGCATGGCAGTGCGCTACTCGCTGGCGGGACTGATAGCCATGCGCGCGTTCGTGGGGGACATGCTTGCGCGGTGGATGCGCCTGTACGACGAGCGCAGGGAGGGCGGAGAGGCGTTTGAGACGCCTGAGGAGCTGCTGCGGTCGCTGGGACTGCTGGAGTTGACTCGGGTGACGCTGAGTGATGCTCTGCTGGAGAAGGGGCTGCCAGCCGTGCTCGTTACCGAGCTTGTTACGGTGACTGCTGGGTGGCGTTGAGAGGGATGGGAAGGGTGGGATGGGATGGGATGGGATGGGATGGGATGGGATGGGATGGGATGGGATGGGATGGGATGGGATGGGATGGGATGGGATGGGATGGGATGGGATGGGATGGGGTGGAGCTTTTACCATAAATGGCATAGCGTGGCATGCTGTGACGGTTTTTCCATTGAATTCAATTACTGGAATTCAATCTTCACTGCTTCATGGTCTCTCCTCCTTCCTCGCCCCCTCCCTCACTCCCTCCGTCCATCCCATGCGTCGCACCACACTGTGTAACCACGCACCACCAGATGATCACTCGAGTGCAGTACGGGCAGAACGCAACAATTTCAGGGCTGCCCGGAGCAGTGGGGCTGTGTGGGACGGGCAGCGAGCTGTGGAAAGTGCGCGGGGGCAACTGGCGGCTGGCTGAGGGTGCAGTCCGCCTGGCAAACGCATCGCTGCACCTGCACTCGCGCGTTGCTCGCATAGCACGGGGCACGGAGGGTGCAGGGGGTGGTTATGTGCTTCATATGGTGGCAAAGGAAGGAAAGCAGGGCAAGGCAGCTGGAGGGGAGCGTAGAGGTGAAGGAGGAGGTGATGGTGCTGGCGACAGTGTTGCTTCTGGTGGTGCTTCTGATGGTGCTGATGCTGCCGATGGTGGTGGTGATGAGGGGGTGAGCTGTGATGCTGTGATTATCGCAACTCCAATGGAGCAGAACGGCATTGCTATTCTCCCTGCGCCACCAGTCCTGCCTCTGCGCACATACCAGCACACACACGTGACGTTTGTGCGCGCCACACTCAACCACGTAAGAGGAACACATAGGTGATTTGCTTCTAGTGTCTCTCTCCTTTCTCCCGCTCCCTTGCCCCTCCCAGTACTAGCACCGCCAACCCGTCCATGTAACCTTCTGTACTCCTAATACTGCTGTCTGCCCCATGCCAGACCTACTTTGCAGCAACAGACTCACCGTCCCTGCCAGGGCTGATAGGCACGTTGGAGAGCGAGGATATCCCCTTCAGCAGCATCAGCCGAGTGGCCCCATGGGCAGCGGATGGCAGCAGCGTGTTCAAGGTCTTCTCACGGCAGCACCTGTCTGACGACACCCTCGACGTGCTCTTCAGGTATAAAATCCGCGAGTAGTGAGGCGATTTTCCAGGCGCCTCTGCAGTGTGTTCAAGGTCCTCTCACGCCAACACTTGTCCGATGCCACCCTCGACGTGCTCTTCAGGTCAGCTACTTTCTGAGAGGCTCTGCTGCACGCACAGAGTCAGACACGGGCACAGGGCACAGGGCACAGGGCACGTGGCACGGGACATGGGACACGGGGCACTGAACACAGGGCACGGGGCACAGGGCACGGGGCACAGGGCACAGGGCGTTTAGGGCTGTTTCATCTTTCTCCTGCTGTTTCCTGACACTGCGTGGTACTGTTACCTTTCTTCTTGCTGTCCACTGGCAAAACCCTGGCATTCCAGGAATCGCTCGTTCACAAGGAGCATTGACTGGCCGGCATACCCGCACTATGCGCCGCCCGATGCCTTTGCACCCTTCCTCCTGGACAGTCACCATCTGTACTACACGAGCACGTTTGAGAGTGCTGCCAGTGCCCTTGAAACTGCCGCCGTGGCTGCGAAAAACGTTGCTCAGCTGCTGCTGACCCGGCTGCAGAAGCAGCAGCAGAAGCAGGAGTTGCCGCTTGGAAGGGGTGGGAGTGGGGATGTGGAGTCTATGGGCCTGACTTCACCTGTGGAAGGTGCGCAAGGGATGAAGGACGAGCTTTAATATGTACACTGCAATGTGCGTCGTTCAGTTAGCATCCATTGCATTCAGTCGGGGTGCGCACTGTCAGACCTGTACCTTCCACCACCCGTGTTTCAGTACCATGCTATGGTACATGCAAGTATACGGTAGATGGTGGTGATACACACTGTTTTCTGCATTTGTCCGTTTGTGAATGACAATGACTTGGATCAACATGCCTGCACTACTCTACCATATATACACAATTTAACACGTATCCCTGCGGTGAGCCTTCATCACAAGAGCGGAAGCCAATCAAGACAAGAGCCTGAAAGACGCATGAAACAGGGCGACGGCAAATTCTCAACATACGGTAGGAATGACATGCTAGAAATCCCCGACACCAAACATCTCCTCTCTCCATGTGCAGGTTTCATGTAGCTACCACTCGTCTCTTTGTTCCATTGGCTATTCTGCTGGTCCTTGCAGTGCAGTCGGGTAGCCCTCATTCGGCAAGGCTCGACCAGTTGCCTTGTCGTCGCTGCACATGCACTGCCCACCTACAAGCCTCCCTCATCCTCACCCTGCTCTCGCCGTGCTGACCACTTGGCTCTCCCTCTCGAGCACTGCTGTAACCTGGGCCCACCCACACTGTGCCTACGTGCTCCTGCCTGGATCCCTGGCTCTGCTGCTGCTGCTGGGGGTGTTGCTGCTGCTGCTGCTGCTGCTGCTGCTGCTTCTGAGGCCTTGCGCCTTTGGCCTGATGTGAACCCCACCCGTGCCGTCGCACGCGGAATGGAGTAAGCGTTGGGGTGGTGTTGGTTGGCGGTGAGGGGAGTGTTGGGGGGAACTCCAGGTGAAGGGGTGGACGAGAAGGGGGGCTGAGTGGGCGTGTCAGAGTCTATGTTTGAGAGGCCTAGCTGCTGCAGCACTATTGCTTCCATGTCACAGTCTGCGGGTGGAACACACACAAGAGCACACACATGAGCACACATATGAGCACATAAGCGAGCACACATGAACTGTATGGGAGCATACACACATGCACACGGGTGACGATGCACGACAGGGAGAGGTTGTGAACGAGTGCTGTAACAAGTGCAACGAATGGACTTGACACAGCCCAAGGAAGGTGTGCAAACAAGGCTAGACCAACATGGACGAGGGCGAGAGGGCAGGGCATGAGGGCTTACAGGCAGCAGCAGGGTCGTCAGGGAAGGCAGCGTTGGTGGGGGCATGGGAGGGGAAGAGGCGTGAGGTGGACATGGAAGCATCCATGGCTGTGACTGCCACCACTGCATCCTGGCGCAGCACTGTCGTGCGGTACATGAGCCTTGCATGCGCTGGTGGGGTGGGAAGAGTGACATTGCTATTTTTAAGGTGCGTAAGAAATTGACTCCACGGCTGTGACTGCCACCACTGCATCCTGGCGCAGCACTGTCGTTCGATACAAGAGCCTTGCATGTGCTGGTGAGATGGACCACACAAGATTTATAACTTAAAAGTGGTGCGTAATCAGGGGAGACGGGGAGAAATGGAAGGAGGTGGGACGAATGATGTGGACGAAGAGCGGGTAGAGCAGGTGGGAGGAGTGTGGAGAGGGTAAATGTACACAAGCAGGGAGGGAGGAGAGCGGGGTTGAAAGATGGGGGGGGAGGGGGGGGGGGGGAAATGGGAGCATGCAGGAAACTTGGAACATACAAACGAAGTGGATGGAAAGGAGAGGGAGTTAGAGGGCTCACCTTGTGCTATGCGTATGCAACTTTCGAGCATGCGGAGGGTTGTTCGCGCTGCCATCAAGCCAAGCACATAAAGGTAGGGGAGCCGGAGAGGCAAAGCCAAAGGCATATTGCAATGGCAGTCAACAAAGGCTAGGCAGCATGTGTGCAACGGTGGTGAAGTGGTGATGCAGTGGTGCTGGTGCTCCCTTTACTTCAACAATTTCTCGTGTCCCTCCCCAGCAGCCTCATTCCCACTCACCCAAACCCCCCTTTCCCTCCCTTTCCTATCGGCTCTCATCACTACACACCCGCCTCTCAGTAGCGAAACGTGACCGATCCACTCAGTGCATACCTGCGTTGTCCTCTGCGTCCCGCCGCTGCTGGCGATAGTAGGCACTGATGACAGCCTGTGCCTCCTCTGATACCATGGGGGAGAACGACTGCCGCACACGCCGGATGTAGCTGGGGAAAAGAAGCATGCCGGACCGGGGATGAAGTGTGAGGTTGAGAAGCATTGGGGAGTGGATGGGGGTAGCAGCATTGAAACGGCAGAGCGGATACATGGGAGAGGATTGAGGAGCAAAGATTGGTTAGATGAAGCAAGAGAGTGGATGTGCTAAGGTCAGGTGAAGGTCAGGGGAGGAGACGGGATGCATGGCCATTCGTGCGTGGAGAGTGTAGGTATGATAGGAGATACGACCACTTGAGTGATAGGAGGAGGGCAGAGGCTGTGAGAAAGAGAGACGGTTGGGGAGGGGCTAAGCGGGTGAAGTAACGAAGTCTGTAAGTAGCGAAGAGATAGGGTGAGTGAGTGGACGGACTTGCGAAGCTTTTGAATTGACCAGAGGTCGGTGGGTGGAGTCAAGGAGACGACAGTGTGCTGTGGTGGGGGAGGAGAGGGAGAGAAAGAGAGAGAATTGGGATGGAAGATGGTGAAGCAGTGGTGACGAGGAGGAAACTGTGCAGCGCAATGCAAGCAAGAATGGAAGCAGACAAAGAGAATGGGAAAGAGCGAAGCAGTGGGTCATGGAAAGATAGTCATTGGCGGCTGGGGCTGGGACGACAGGTAGTGGTGGTGTGCAGAGTGCAGAGTGCTGAGTGCAGAGTGCAGAGTGCAGAGTGCAGAGTGCTGAGTGCAGAGTGCAGAGTGCAGAGTGCAGAGTGCAGAGTGCAGAGTGCTGAGTGCAGAGTGCTGAGTGCAGAGTGCTGAGTGCAGAGTGGAGTGTGGAGAGGGCAAAGTGGAGAGTGCAGAGTGCAGCATACCTCAGCAAGGATGTGTTGAGCCACGCGCTCATTCCACGAGGCCTCAGAGGTGTCGGGCAGCAGTAACACGAGGTCAAAGCGGCTCAGCAGGGGGCTGGCAATCCCTGTGTTCACCACCAGCGCTGCACGTGTAGCAAGAGAGACAGGAGCACAGGGAGCAGGGAGGTAGGAAGGTAGTGGGTAAGGAAAGTGTGAGGAATGGGTAATGTGGGGTTGTGAGTGAAGGCGAGGGTGTAGGGGAGTCAGAATAGGGTGGAAGGATGTGGGTGGTTTGGGATGGGGAAATGGACTACGGGTTTAGGGTTTGAGCTGAGTACTGTGCCCTGGCCATTCAATGCGATTCTGTTTGCGATCAGTTGCATCAAAGCTATGGGGTTATGCACGACTGCTGCTTTGACTGATGGTGCTAACAAAGAGACGAACGTACAGGTGTCAGCGTCATATGCGGCCTTGGGATTTGTGACTGCGAACACACTGCAACGGGAAGGTAGAGTGGTGACTATGCCAGCCTGTCAGGGGCAGAATCGGGAGTAAGGGGGTAGGTGAGGAGGGGTAGGGTGCATGGTATGGGTTAGAATATAAAAGGAGAGATGAAAAACGTGTTTTCCAGGGTCCCTGAATGAAATTTTGAGGACATGCATTCGGGTGCATAAGCACAAGCAGAAGCAGGAGCGTTTGGTGTGATCAATTGTGGAAACTGGAGGGCGAGAGAGGAGGAGGCGCGGACCTTAGCAATGCTTATTGTCTGCTGCTCCATGGCTTCATGCACCGCTGCTTGGTCATCCTTCTGAATGCTGGATCACACACACACACACACATGAACACATGCATGTGCCATGCCCACATACACACACATGCACACACACACACGCACCACGCAAGAATGATATGAGGCAGAGATGTAGCAGGACATCGGATGATGAGGACGAATGGTGGAGAGGGTATGGAACGAGGGAGTGGCATTGGTACCAGAGCATGGCTACAAAGCGCCAAACTGATGAAAAGTGCAGCGGCGGGGGAGAGCGAGTGAGATTGCGAGGGAGAATGGGGGAGATTGTGAGAGAGTGTGTGAGTGAAAATGAGTGAGAGTGTGTGAGAGTCTGAGAGAGAGAGTGTGTGAGCGAGAACGAAGGAGAGCGTGAAGCAGAGAGTGAGGGAAGGCCTGACCTGCTGAATTCATCGATGCAGCAGAGCCCCCCATCTGCCAGCACAAGAGCGCCTGGCTCCAGCATCCACTGACCTACACAGCAGCATAAAGACAGCAAGGGCAGCACAGGAGGAGGACGAGGGGTTGGGAGGTGGTGAGGAGGAGGGTGGAGGGGAGTAGAGGGAGGAGGAGGAATGGTAGGAACAGTTCTCAGGTGTATGCACGCTCAGCTGCACCAACGTGAGTGATCTGTCCAGATTTCACCACTTACTTTTCCACCACTTCCCACCCTGTTTTTCCATCTGGCACATTCAATTCCTAGAGTCGACCCCAGAGTTCTTCCACCTCCCTGATCCATCCATGCATGCATACCTGATGTAACAGTGCGTCACGCACCCGTCACCTGCGTCCTTGACAGCAGTGACAGAGAGAACTGCGAAGCTTCTTCCCAGGCCAGTAGTGAGCACAGCACGATGACTTTTGAGTCGACTCGATAGTCACCTTGTTACAATGCCACACAACAGTCCGCACCCCCGCACCCCTCACCTGCGTCCTTGACAGCAGTGACAGTGAGGCCTGCAGAGCTGCTTCCTAGCCCAGTGGTGAGCACAGCACGATGGCACAGCCTCGATGCGTACTTGAGAAACTGGGACTTGCCCGTGCCTGGGATGGGTGAGTGGGGTGGGAGGCATAGTGCAGAGGGAAACAGAGGGAGGTGGAGCAGGGGAAGGAGGTGAGGGGTGGAAGGGAGGAGAATGGCAAGGTGGTGCAAGAGGGGAGCGAATGGGGGAGGTGATTTGAATGGTACAGAATTGAAGCATTCGGATGCAATGCACGCACACAGCATTTACACTGGCACTTCAGTTCAAAGCATTGTGACATGTTCAATAAGGTACCTGGGTCCCCAACGAGCAGCAGGTGCATTTCCCCACGCACACGGGTGCCTGAGGGGTCCATGTGCGGCACTCCCCCTATCAGCATCAGCGCCACTAAGGGCCGCGAGGAGGGAAAGTGATGTGGGAAGAGAGGGGCAGGAGGGGGCAAGGCCGGGTACGGAGGAAGCGCACGAAAGAAAAGGAAAACACAGGCTGCTTTGAAAATTTGGAATTTCTCGTGTATGGGAGTGGAGGGAGCATGGGAGACTGCGAGCATCAAAGTGGGTGGAGCTCTGAGCATAGATTCGCAGCAAAACGATGGGAAACCATCGGGGAGAAGAACAGAACGAGCAGTGAAAGCGGGATGAGGGTTATGCTGGGAGGTTGAGTAGGGGAGACAGCATGAGGTTGCTCGCGCACACACCTGCAAGCTTGACAGCAGCAAGACCGTACACCTGGGGGCAGATACTACGCAGGATGATGTCTCTGCCTGGGAAATAGATACACGCACATGGACACAGGGGTAAAGCGTTCACTCAGGTCGTGCATGCATACACACCAGCCACACATCCAGCTCATTCACACACACACACACACACACACACACACACACACACACACCCCTCCTAAACCACCTTCCCACCCCCACACCCCCTTTCCCCCTCATGCCCTTGAACGTGCCGCAGACCTGCAAGGGGATTGCTGGCATGGGCACACCAGAAATCCTCAAATTCCCCCTCCTCCTCCTCTCCCTGCTCCTCCAACTCCTGAGCATTGCTCCTGCTGCATGCACAGCAGGGAAGCACAATAAACACTCGGTGAATACATACCTACTCCGTGCAAATGTGAAGAGAAAACAGGAATCCCAGTGTTAAAGGATGAACACAAGGGCTGCAGTGTCTCATACCAGAGGTTGTTGGCGCACAGGATGGGCTCAAGCAGGCAACGGGCGCCAGGAGCAACAGAGCGCCAACGACAAGCCATCACACCCACCACCACCACATCCTCTTGGTTGGTTGTATCAAAGGCATGTTACAAAAAGGTCAAAGGGAGCACGGGGGTTGGGGATTGCCAGAGGCCAGGTTTAGTGAAGGAGCGAATGATGCAATGAAGGAAGGCACAGTGTGACGAATGAGAAAAGCAAGCCCTTGACATTCATTCAAGGGTGCAGGAAGCTGAGGGGGCGACAAAGCTCACTGCAATGAGCACACGGGACACAGAACAGCGCATGCACGGCACATCGTTGCAGAGAGCGCATCCATCACATCTCACCACCAGGCAGCACAGTGTCAACGAGGTCTTTGGACAGCACGACCCGCACGGAGCGGGGCAGGCGCCCTGCAGGCAGGTCGTGCACGTGCTCCTGCAGCTTCACCTCCTGGAAGTCCATGCATGCGCCACGCCCCGCACCAGCTACGCCGCTGCTGTTGTTGTTGCTGCGCTGACTGTCAGCTGGCACAAACACGCGCCCCTTGCACCGCTTGCGCCGCTGCAGCAACGTTCAAGCGATGGGAGAAGAGAGGAAGGGAATGTGAGTGGGGGTGGGAGAGGGGGGTTGGAGGGAATGGGGCACAGGTGCAGATGGGGACTGACTTTCCCGTTCACTGGTGCGCGATGCAAGTGTAATTGGAGCTTACAATGAGTTGACATCTCATAACACATATAGGCTTTGTCGGAGAGCAGCATAAAAGTAGGTACGACAGATGGTAATGCTGGGCCAAAAGTATGGGCATCCTTCAAACAGGGAGGTTAATTCTGAGGCATCCATAACGCAAATTGGTCATTTGTGGGTGGGACCATGTTCACATGCAACAAGCCTGCATGCAAATACCTTGCTGTCAACATACGGACAGGCAGATGGCACCTCCACTGCGTAGCCCTCCTCTGGTTCTGGCGAGCATGTAAATCTGAACGCGAAAAAAAGGCCGGCAAAACCGGGAAGCAAAAGTGCAGAGGAGAGGAAGGAGGATAAAGAAGCTCGGAAAAGATGGCGGCCTGCACATGTGACAGGGAGGTGGACAGCGAAGATTCATGGAGTGACAAAAGACCAAAGAACACACGTCCTAGTCTTACGTTCTCTTGCATGTGGTGCAGGTGAATGCACGCAGCCCTTCCAGCATCTGTACGGTCCCTGTGCGCACAACCGTGCCTGTCACTGTCAGCAGCTGCCCTTCGTGCCTCACTCGTAGAGCCCCTATGCCTGGGGACGCCTCTCCGCAAGCAAACGCGGATCCCAGCGTGTTCATGCGCACACATGCATTCACTGCGTACTGCAGGTGCTGACGAGCTCGTTTGTTTCCGCTTCTACCGCCTGCTCCTTGTGCTGATGCTGCTGCTGCTGCTGCTGCTGGTGATGATGACGGAGGGGCTGCACCACCAGCTGTTGTTGACTTTGACGCTTGAGCAGCTTCCTCCTCTTCCTGCTCAGCCTGCTTCGCCCATAGCTCCTCCTGAACCAATGTTGAATACGCAGAAGAAATCAAGTAGAAACTCCAGTTAAAGCCATAATTCATGCGCAGACCATCCAACGAAGGTAACACAGCAACCGTGTCAATTAACCCTTTGAAATGCCAGCCACAAAAGATTTTAAATGCCGAGGTCACGACTTCCGAACGGCCTTCACGATCAGATTACACTGACCATGGCTCGAGCAAGAGCGAGTTCAAATAGGGGTAACAAGCGCCTGGCGTTGGCATGGAGCTCCAATGCCAGAGAAGGGTTAGAATTCAAAAGCTCGGCGGACCTGATAACGGAAGGGGAGAAAGGTCAGTCGCAGGAAGAAATACCGATAAGCAACGCGATTAAACGAGCGGATTAAGGGAGCTGTGGGAGGGACTAGTCAGGCGATTTCGGCAGGATTGTCGCTTCGTCGTTTGGCTTACTCGACGGCGAGGGCGAAGGGACGAGCAGAAGGTACGCGAGGGAGATCGCGAGAGTGTGATTCCACAATGAACTCATGAAAGGCCTCCTCATAATCATCGTCCGATAGACCCTGCCAGCTTCGGATGGCCACTGAACACGCTGCATTTCCGTTGAGATTGCCGCTGTTGGAATTGCTTCTATGAGGGACCGCCATCGTGTGTCATGTACAAAGGTCACCTCAAGTGCACAGGCTCTTCTACCCGTATAAGTTCCATCGCAAGTTACGAACGTCGCTGTGGAGCTGCGACGCTAGGACAGCCGCATCGCAGCTTGTGTAGGACCGATGGTGCTGGTCAGAGTGAAATGGTAGCATAGAAAAAGCAACACTACTCAGCAGGGATCACTACCACAGCACAGTTATCATACGCATTCCAGGGATCACCGAAATATTCCCCACCCCAGCATTTGCGACGTGAGCCAACTGCGTGTCCTAGAAGTTGGCTCGAATGCGGTTTAGGGAGTTTGACAGCGGTGCATTACAAGGTTGGTTACGGTTTAGCGAGATTGAACTTCTGACTCATGCTATATACGGCACAGGGAATTGGTTGGTTCTTTTCGCGCCAAGTTTTTTGTCTCGACATTTCTGTACACCTCCGACACAGAATTTCGCCCTTATCTCTTTGATAGACGACATGAAACTAAAAAACCAACAACAAGTTTATCTCTTATTTCTTATATTTCTTATCTCTTATTTCTTATTTCTTTGTTTATCTCTTTTTGCTCTATTGGTCAGGAGGAATCATGGAACTCGCACCTTAAAATGCTCTACTTCATGGCCAAGAGCTCACTGCTACTAGCTCGTGCTGCAGGGTTGACTACCAGCAATCTCTGTACAAGCTTCATTGCTTTGGGTGAGACCCCTTTCCAGCATGAGACTCTGTAATCCACATGTCCTCTCCGGATTCTTTTCCACAACAAAGATGTGGATCCCGCAACAAATGGAAGCTGGCCGGTCAGCAAAACGTGAAGAATGACGCCGATGCTCCACATGTCTGACTCCTTCCTGCATGCGGCACTTCCGCCTCTTATCACCTCCGGGGCTTGGAAGTACATGCTGTGCAAGCTCGTTGCCTCTCTATAACAATCCGCCTTCCTAAAGCTTGTCAGAATGCTGCCAGGCTGGGCCTGGTCGAGGCAGAGCGCAGAGCCAAAGTCACAGAGCTTCACCAAGGGGATCTGCTCGTCTAGGCGCAGGCCTTTCATGCATCCTCCGGAAGCACTTGATGCAGCAGGTTGTGACAGAAGGATATTCTCTAATTTGATGTCGCAGTGCACGATGCCGCATGCATGGCACGAATGCACGGCTGACACCAGCTGCCAGAAGATACCAAGAGCAACAGCCTCAGGCAGAGCTTTAAAGTTCTCCATATCCTCCTCTTCCTCGATCACGTCCTCGAACTCATCACTTAAACTGATGGCGTCAGGAAATATCATCATGTGCTTGCGGCCCGCGCGAGCCTTCCGAGTGACGTCCACTCCACTAGTGGAGGCAACAGAGTCCTCCAACGCGTGTCGGTGAAGCGCGGCGTGAAGCTCACCGCCGGAGCAGAGCTCGAGGAGCAAGTGCAAGGAGTACGCGTCGTCGCACACCCCGTACAGCTGCACGATGTTCGGATGACCTCTCAGTCGCAGCAGAGCCGCCACTTCCGTGTGCCATTTCCACACGCCGCTCGCGCCTTCCGCCTGCCGCCGCAGCGCGCAGCGGCTCCGCCCCAGCCACCCGCTGCTGCACCGCAGCGCCTTGCTCTTGGCGATGCTCTTGCACGCGAACTCCGTGCGCGACTTCCTGTCCCAGCACCGGCGCACCACCCCGTACCCGCCCACGCCCAGCACTTCGCGCACGTCGTAACGCTTGTAGAAGCCGCCGTTCATCATCGCCACTGGGAGGGTCGTTGTAGAAACCAACGCGCCCGCGCCCGCGCCAAGCGCTGCCTTGCCGATTATTATCGTGCGAATCATGATAGCGGGAGTGGAATCTGAGTCGTCCGATGCCTCGACAATCCGACCATCGCTGCAGAAGCGGAGAGACGCGACGCCGGGTCTGGGAGAGATGTTGAGGCCAACCTGAGCATTGTCAGTGCTTTCACACAAGTCGGCAGTTGTCGCTCTGTCCAGCGTTATACCACTGTGGTTTATTCGAGGAGGAAGCATATTTCCGGGCGTAGCAAAAATGGGGCCTGTGGAAAGGGGGGCATCAACCAATGGCCTAGTAGTAGAGCCATCTCCTACTTCTACCTTTCTGCGTGGGCTATTGCATGTGGTAGCTTCAAAACAAAAGGCGGCTCGCATTGTCTCGGATGGAAACAGCTGAAGCTGGGACGATGAAATGCTAACGATACTCGCATGATCCGGTGTGAGATGATAACATCTCTAGTAGTGGTGGCGAGATTGTACTACAGCTGGGTGGTGCAAGTCTATCTCGGGATCTGCGAAACGAAACCCCAGCCAACTGGCAAGTCATCCAGACAGCAGCAGGCGAAACAGCCATGCGAGCTGTTGACAGTTTTAAGGCGAGCTGTGCTACGCGAAGCGAATCGCACCGCAACAGCCCATCAAAGCGCCAACTCAACGAAGAAAATCTCGGGTTAGAAAGCGAGATACTGGGCACAGGGGGAGGTAAGTATCTGGTCTGGCCCTCAGGAGGACGACCTCTTAGTACACAGCTGAGACTTGCGTGTAGCCCCACCATCTCTCCTTGTCTCCAAAAGTCGTTTCAGAGTCTGGAACAGCACCACCACTCGCATTCGATCGAACAGCCCCTCCACCAGCAACAGCGGGGAAGGCAACGCGATTCCGAACGTTTCTAGAACACGCTGGTTGCGACGACATCATGGACTTTCCAGTGGTTGGCCGAGCTGTTGAGACCCAGATCGTGTAACCCACTGTGCACACACTTCTAACGGCACACGCGCTGGCAATAGCGGTTACTTTCTCGTTTTCAGTGGGAAGCGTGTCAAACAGTCAGTATGCAACCCCAGCAGTGGTTCCTAAACGACAGCCCCGAAGCTGTAGACGGCAGCAGGTGGCCCCTAGTCATCGAAGAAACACGTGTGATGACGATACCCAAGATACTCGCTAGAGGATGGCATTTCTCCGTGAACAATGTACAAGACTTGGCTTCTTTGCATTAGGACCTTGTATCCATGCATACTGTAAGTTCCAAACAAAATCATGGACTGTTGTTAAGAAAGCTTCAGGGGAACATATGTTAACATCACATTTGTTGAGAAAGCTTCTTTGCATCAGGACCTTTGGTTGGAAAGCATGACGAGATTATAACACATCATTAGAAAATCCCTACAGTACACGGAATAAGGTCCTTGTTGGATTAGATGTATGGTAAGTGTTGCATGTTTTCTGGTGCAGATGTTCAGGGTACAAGTGTCACAGTATAAGAAAGGAAACGTTTAGTTGGTGTGCCCTGGTTGGAGTAAGCACAGGCAGAGTTGACAAATACACATAGTGGGTCCAGAATCACAGCAGAATTTACACGACAGAGATTTGCCTGGCATGGGTTCATAATTTCTGGAAAAAAAAAATTGGCCTCCGTTAACAATTTCTGAACAAACACTGGAAATCAGTGTACCGGTAGTACAAGTTGCAAAAGGTTAACCCGGACACTGGCTGGACCCGGTCACTGGTGCCCTAACGCCTTCCCTTGCTCCTTGCTCTCCAAAATGTCTAGACACTTCTAGCGGTTCCCCATGCAGCGAGTGTGCCCTCTTCATCTAACCAAAACTGCGGCCGAGCGAATCACAAAAAGGGTCATGCTATGCTACTATTCCAGGCAAAGAACCTCGAGTGGTGAAATAGAGAAAATACCCGCGCTGCTTATTCTTGCCTAAAGCCATCGGGTAATTGACCTGTGCTGTTACTGGTTGTGGACCAGTAGTTGTTGCCTGGGCACAAAGAACTGCCTCCCTTCACCCATCTATCACTCCCTGAGTTACCATCAACGCTACCAGCAACAGAAGGAGCAGCAGCGGAATCACCAGCAGCAGAAGCAGGGGGGGGAGCAGCAGCAGCAGCAGCAGGAGTGGTGACTGGGACAGCTGGAGAAGCAGCAGCAGGAGTAAGAGACGCAGCAGAGGGGGTGCGTTCGAGCACAGCCACGAGGTCAGCAACGCGGATGGGCTTGGAGAGAAACCCATCCATGCCTGCATTGAGGCACTGCTGCCGGTCCGAGTGCAACACATTGGCTGTCATTGCCACTATGCGCGGCCGCACTCGCCCCTCCTGCTGCGCTAGCAGGTGGATGCGCTGTGTTGCCTCTATGCCATCCATCACTGGCATCTGCAGGGAGGACGCAAGGCCACGAGGGGGGGGCGCGGAGGGAAGGTGACGCGGGATGGGCGAGGGAAGTCAAAGAGAGTTGGCGAGAGAAGGAAGGAATGATGAAGGAGAACGACTGAAAGCTGGCTCTCGAGTGACACTGGCTTCAAGCCTTGGTACAAATGCACTCCATATGCTCTCACATGGCGCACACACTTCATGTCCCCAAGTGCCCTCTCTGTATGTCCACAGGTGCCCAGCCCACCTGAATGTCCATGAACACAAGGTCATATGTTTTAGTGGCGAGGGCATTGACGGCCTCCAGCCCATTGGCCGCCAGGTCCACCGTGTACCCCATGTTGCTCAGCATGCGCGTTGCCACACGCTGGTTTCAAGGCGCCAAAACAACGGCATACATGCCCACCTGAATGTCCATGAAGACGAGGTCGTATGTCTTGGTGGCTATGGCATTGACGGCCTCCAGCCCATTGGCCGCCAGGTCCACCGTGTACCCCATGTTGCTCAGCATGCGCGTTGCCACTCGCTGATTCACCAGGTTGTCCTCGCTGCACAGAGCACGCGTGCGGGCGGGGACATGTGTGGGCGTGGGGGTGGGGGTAGGGTTTGGGTCGGGGGGAAAGGGCAACAGGGCAAGCTAGCATGCCAGGTCCACAGGGTGTGCCCCCTGTTGCTCAGCATGCACGTGGCCACGCGCGCGCTGATTCACCAGGATGTCCTCGCTGCGCGCAACCCACAGCACACGTGCGGGTGGGTGTGCGGGTGAAGGTGCGGTTGCGATTGCGGGTGAGAGAGTTTGCGCGGGGGAAGGTGGGGAAGGGCAAAGGGGCGAACGTGTTCAGGTGAGGCACAACAGGAAGGGAGGACGCAGCCAGGGCGTTTGTGTAGCCAGGAAGTTCAAGACAACACTTGTGACATATTTCTTGCACATGCCAGTTTTTCCATCCCAGCAAATACAACACAACTGGGGAAGGGAAGGTTAGGGAACTCAAATCTCCGCTTTCAACCCTCCACTTCCCCACGCCCACCGCAACCAGCCTTTGAACTGATTGCTGAGAGTCCACAATCCTCACAATCCCCAACCCGTTGCTCAGAGCCCACCGTATGTATTCACACTCACACAAGCAGTATCTTGAGTGGATGCTTGTCCGCCAGACCCAATATGAACCCGCCAGGCGTCGTGCGCTCATTCGCCACCCCTACTGCAATCAGATTCTGCCAGCTGTTATTCCTCCTAGGCATTTCTACAGCCCCGGCCTGCTCCGCCGCTCCCTGCCCTACTCTTCCTTCTCTTCCTTCTCCTCCTCGCCCTCCTTGCCCTCCTCGCCCCCCGCCTCCTCTTGCTCGAGGACTCACAACACCAATGCTGCTCACGTTGCTGCCACTACCACCACCAGCACCAGCAGCAGCAGCAGCAGCAGCAGCAGCAGCAGCATCCGCGACAGTCCTGCCATCCGACCTGTCACCTCCACAGGAGGTGAGTGTGGCATTACCACCACCACCACCTTTGCCGCCGCCAGTTCTACTCGCAACCGCTGTCAGAACAGCAGAGGAAGCAGAAGCAGGAGGCACGGAGGAAGGCTGGGGCATGGCACTGTGATGGCTGGATCTGCTGTGGTTGAACGCTGCAGCCGCAGCAGGAGCAGGAGCAGGAGCAGTGGTGGTAGGAGTGGTGGTTGGGGAAGCAGCTGCCGGTTGGTGCGGGTGAGTGAGGGGAGATGGAGATGGAGGCGTAGCGAGGGGAGGGAAGGCGAGGAGCAGAGCACGGGTGAAGAGGGACTGGCGCAGGGGCTTGGTTAGTGCTGCCATGCTGATGCTGGGGGCCGTCACGCGCACCTGGTGGGGAGGGGGAGGGGGAGGGGGAGGGGGAGGGGGAGGGGGAGGGGGAGGGGGAAGGGGAGTGGGAGGGGGAGGGGTGAGAGCGGGAGAGAAAGAAATCGTGTGGGTGCGTGTGTGTGTGGGAGAAAAAGCGAGACAAAGAGAGAGATACAGAGAGAGGGACACCAGAGGGGCGGGGGCTTCAGTGTGCTGAATGGATGGCGGGGCGGGAGGGCTGGACTGGAGCTCCCTTGATGGGGGCCTTCTGATCTGATGGGGCCATGCAGCTGCCTACCAGATGACCATGCCATGCACTGCACTACCACTAACCTGCATGTTTAGTCAAAGCGTGACGAAAAGAACACGCATGCGAAAGAGGAGGAGGCGTGTCGGGGGGGGCGGAGGGACAGTACGCAAGTGTGGAGTGAGTGAGTGAGTGAGTGAGTGAGTGAGCGAGCATCAACGCCGTGGCTTGAGGTATCTGTGAAACAGGGGAGGGGCAGCACTCCATGGCACAACGCAGCACAGCGCAGCGCACCTGGTTGGCGGTGCCGTAGGGGCAGAGCAGCAGCACGCGCAGCCCTTCTGCCTGTGGCAAGGCGCTGAGCTGGTTCACCGCTGTCAGCCCGTCCATTCCCGGCATCTGACGAGCAATCCATACATTTGGGCACGGCGGGCGGGGGAAGGGAAGGGAAGGCACAGAATGAAGCAAAGGCAGAAGGGAAACCAAATGTACAGGGACAAACTATGTTGCACCTGACGCGTCAAGTCAAGCGTCCTGGACACGCGCACCAAGAAGGAACAACGACAGCAGCGACCAATAAACTGGACAAGAGAGAGAGGTCCATCCCGTGCTCCTGCTGCCGCTGCTACCCGCTGCAACTTGCCCCTTACCTCGTTATCCAGTCCCTCACCTCGGTATCCCCAACCCGCGTGCCGTCCCCCTCACCTCGGTGTCTACGACCACGAGGCTGGGTGCGCGGGTGACATCGCAGGCAGCAACCTCCTCCAGCAGCTGCTCCCCACTCGTCAGCTCCCTCGTCGCAAACCAAACCCTCCCCACCCCACCTCCTCTTGGTCCATTATCTAAATGTTTGGCAAAACCACTGACAACTCCAACCAGACGTTCCTCCCGCAACCATCCCCCACCCCCCCCCCATTCCCCCCCGCGCGTCCCGCACCCCGTCCCCCTTACCTCGGTATCCACGAGCTCACCTCAGTATCAATGACCACGAGGCTGGGTGCGCGGGTGACATCGCAGGCAGCAACCTCCTCCAGCAGCTGCTCCCCACTCGTCAGCTCCCTCGTCGCAAAACAAACCCTCCCCACCCCACCTCCTCTTGGTCCATTATCTAAATGTTTGGCAAAACCACTGACAACTCCAACCAGACGTTCCTCCCGCAACCATCCCCCATCCCCCCCCATTCCCCCCCGCGTGTCCCGCGTCCCGTCCCCCTTACCTCGGTATCCACGAGCTCACCTCAGTATCAATGACCACGAGGCTGGGTGCGCGGGTGACATCGCAGGCAGCAACCTCCTCCAGCAGCTGCTCCCCACTCGTCAGCTCCCTCGTCGCAAAACAAACCCTCCCCACCCCACCTCCTCTTGGTCCATTATCTAAATGTTTGGCAAAACCACTGACAACTCCAACCAGACGTTCCTCCCGCAACCATCCCCCACCCCCCCCCATTCCCCCCCGCGCGTCCCGCGCCCCGTCCCCCTTACCTCGGTATCCACGAGCTCACCTCAGTATCAATGACCACGAGGCTGGGTGCGCGGGTGACATCGCAGGCAGCAACCTCCTCCAGCAGCTGCTCCCCACTCGTCAGCTCCCTCGTCGCAAAACAAACCCTCCCCACCCCACCTCCTCTTGGTCCATTATCTAAATGTTTGGCAAAACCACTGACAACTCCAACCAGACGTTCCTCCCGCAACCATCCCCCATCCCCCCCCATTCCCCCCCGCGTGTCCCGCGTCCCGTCCCCCTTACCTCGGTATCCACGAGCTCACCTCAGTATCAATGACCAAGAGGCTGGGTGCGCGGGTGACATCGCAGGCAGCAACCTCCTCCAGCAGCTGCTCCCCACTCGTCAGCTCCCTCGTTGCAAACCCCAGCGCCTGCAGGTGCGCTGATACCATGGCACGCACTGCCGCACTATCATCCACTACCAGGGCTGTGCGGCCCTGCACTGCACGGATAGGGCGAAGAGTCACGACGGCGGCGGGGTTGACTGCAGGGTCCATCACGTGCTCCCCGCGGAGGGAATCCCGAGGGGAAAGCGCAGGGGAGGTTGGTGGTGTGTCTGTGAGGGCGTGTGTGCAGGCGTCTGTGGGGTGGCCTGTAGGGGGTTCCGTGTGGGGTTCTGTGGAAAGGGAGGAGGGGGGTGTGATGTGTGGTGAGGCACGGGGAGCGGTGGTTGGGGAGGTGCGAGGGGTGGTCTGCTGGGTGGAGGAGCGCGGAGCGGAGTGGGTAGCGTGTGGGGAGGGGCAGGGGCAGGGTGAGGGTGAGGGCGAGGGCGAGGGAGAGGGCGAGAGAGAAGGAGAGGGGCACGGTTGGTGGGAGGGTTGTGAGTCGTGTGAGTGGTGGTGCCCCATCGGCTGTGGGGGTTGTTGGTTGGAGGGATGTGGCAAGGACATGTGCACAGCAGGTGGAAAAGTGAAAGGATGCGACCGTTCCTGTTGCTGTTCCCCGGCTTGCCGTCCCCCCAATTCGGTAACCATGTCAGACGCAGAGTCATCCGTCCGGCGCTGAAACGTCCCCTCAATGTCACCATCTCTCCCACACGCCACCACCACCATTGCCTCACCGGATTCTCTCCCCACCACTCCCCCCACTACCCTTTCACTCTCCCCCACTGGCCTTCGCGTTGCCCCTCCATCATCCTCTCCCCTCCCGCCTTCTTCACTGACCTCCCTAGGCCTCTTGCTACCCCGCCTCTCTCCCCCCACCACCTCCCCTGCCTTGCCATCAACAACCCCACCCTGCTCGCTCTCTCTTGCCCCTGCCCCCACCCCTTCCCTTGTCCCTGCCCCTTCCGCTGCCCCTGCCCCCACTCCTTCCCTTACCCCTGTACTTATCCCCACATCTCGTGCTCGCCCCACCCCTGCATTCATCCCTGCAATCGCACCCTCCTCCACCTCCCAGTTCCCCACCCCGCCATCCGCAGCGCTGCCCTGTGCTGCAGCGCCAGGAACCAGCACAGCACTCTCCATCAACCGCTGCCGGTACAGGGACGACCGCAGCTTCTGCCGCTGCTCCCACTCTGCTTCCACCCTCGCATGTGACCCTATCTCCGCCACCGCCCCTGCTGCTGCCGCCGTTGCTGCAGCTCCTGCTGCTGAACCTACTCCTCTCAATCCTCTGTCCCCTCCCAGACCTCGCCCTCCCCAAGCCCCCCCTACACCTCGTCTGTCCGCCCCAGCTGCACCAGCAGCCGCAACCGCACCAGTGCTGCCTCCTGCCAGCGTGACACCTGGAGGAACAGCAGCAGCAGGAGCGGAAGTGCTGGTGGTGGTCGTGGCGATGGTGGTGGTGATACCACTGCTCATGGCAGCAGAGCTTGGGGCTATAGCTGCTGTGGCAGGTGTGGGTGAAGGAGGAAGAAGATGGGATGGTAGGGATGGCTGTGAGGCAGACAACGGGAGGGCTGTGACAGTAGCTGTAGCTGTAGCACTACCTGTGGCAGGGGCAGCAGAGGGCACGGTACTGAGAGAGGCAGCGACAGGGGGAGCGCGAACAGGCAGAGGCGGAAGAGCAGAAGAGGCACATGGAGCAGGAGTAGCAGCAGCAGCAGCAGCAGGAGGAGGAGGGGGAGGAGCAGCAGCAGGAGCAGGAGCTGGAGTAGGAGCAGCAGCAGCAACGGGGGCAGGCGTTGCTAATACAGGCTCTGTGGGCGGCGGGGGATAGAGGGCAATAGTGAAATGGAACGTGGACCCTCTATCCTCCCCTGCACTCTCTACCCACATGCGCCCTCCCAGCAGCTCCGCCAGCTCCTTCGAAATCACCAGGCCCAGCCCCGTGCCCCCAAACCTGCGCGTAGTGCTTGCATCCCCCTGACTGAACGGTCGGAAGAGGCGAGACATGCGATCAGGAGGGATACCGATGCCTGTGTCTGTGACTGTTACGTGTAGCTCGTGGCTTGGGAGGGCTGAGTCTGAGAGGAGAGAGGAGGAGGTGTAGAGGTAGGGTGAACTGGGCGCGAGGGTGGAGAGGGAGGTGGTTGAGGAGGAGGAGGAGGAGGAAGAGGAGAAGATGGAGAGCGGTGCAGATGTGTTGAATGGGAATAGCCCTGGTTGGTGTCCTGTTGTGGCAGCAGCGGCGGCAGTGGCACCAGTGGCAGTGGAAACGCCATCGGAGGTTTGGAGGAGGGAAGGAGGGAGGGTATGGGAGAGGGGATGGGGGGGGAGGTGCGAGGAGGTGCGGGAGGCGGGCCAAGGGGAGGCGCGGGCGCGGATGACAATCTCCCCTTGGTGCGTGAACTTGAGGGCGTTGGATATGAGATTCACCAGGATCTGATGCATGTATGCACACACACGCACGCCGACAGAGGTGGGAGGAGGACACGGGCGGGAGAGCGGAAAGGGAAGGAGGACGGCGCATTGTAAAAGGGTATATGGATGAGGTTGAGGTGCGAAACTCGTGAACTGATGTTTTCTCCGGGAAAACAACAGCGGGACCACACACTGAGAAAGAAGCAGGAGAAGGGAAACCTCAGGCCTAACCAGCCATACCTCCTACCTTCCCACACACCTGTGTGTCCCGAACTCCCGCCCCTCCTCTCCCAGCCTCCATGCATCGCGCACGCACACACTTATCCCCATGCCCACCCAGCCTCACAGCTTCACAGTGCAGCACACCTGTCGGACGCGAGCGGGGTCGGTCTGGGCGATGGGAGGCACGGAGGGGTCTGCAAACGACACCAGCTCCAGCCGCTTGTCCAGCGCCTTCAGCTGCCAAGGGGGGGAAGCGAAAGGCGGACGGGGGGAGAGGTGGAAGGTGAGGGGGAAGGTGAGGTGGGGGGGAAAGGTGGGGGGGAAGGTGGGCGGGCATGAGCGCATGAGGGAATGGGGGCATGCGGGCGCAGGAGGGGGCAGGAGGGCACAGGAGGGGGCAGGAGGGCATAGGAGGGCACAAGATGGCATGCGACTCACAGCGAACATGTCAACGGCCTCCTCGAGGCGCATCATGAGGGAGAAGGGGCAGAAGGGGCAGACGGGGCAGACGGGGCAGACGGGGCAGACAGGGCAGACGGGGCAGACGGGGCAGACGGGGCAGACGGGGCAGACGGGGCAGACGGGGCAGACGGGGCAGCACTCTTTTGAGTCGACACAACAGTCACCTCACCCCAGCCCAGGGGCCAGGGCCACTCCACTCACAGCGAACATGTCAACGGCCTCTTCGAGGCACATCATGAGGGAGAAGGGGCAGCGCTCGAGCGCGAGTTCCCCCGCCTCGATCTTGCTGAAGTCGAGGATGTCGTCGATGATTGCCAGCAGCGCGTCGCCGCTCGTGCGGATGGTGTGCACGTACTGCTGCTGCTCGTCCGTGAGTGGCGTTGAGAGGATGAGGTTCGTCATACCGATGACCGCGTTCATGGGTGTGCGGATTTCATGGCTCATGCACGCCTGGTGGGAGGGGAGGGGGGGAGAGGAGGGAGGGAGTGAGGGAGGAGGCGGTGTGGAAGCGGACGGGGTGGGGGGGGTAAGTGAGGAAGGGAGAGGGTGGAGTGGTGGGGAGAGGAGGGGGAAAGAGGGGTTGAGTGGGGCGGAGGAGGGGATGAGAGGGTGGAGGAAGGTGGAGTAGAGGGAGTCATGCAGGGTGATAAGGATGGTGAGGGGGGTGTGGGCGGAAAGAAAGCTGAATGATGTTGGGATTGAGTGTGCGCTGGAACAAAACAGGAAAAGCAGGTAGCACGCAGCACAGCACGCAGCAAGCAGCGCGCAGCGGGCAGAACGCAGCAGGCAGCAGAGAGAGCACAATAGGGGGGAGCGGAGCACTGACGAGGAACTGGCTCTTGAGGCGGCTGGCGGACTCGGCCTCGAGGCGGGCGGCTCGGAGGTCCACCACGAGCTTCTCCAGCCGGTTCGCCTGCTCCAGTATCTTGGACCGCGACGCCTCCATGTCCTGCTCGCGTGGAGAGAATGGGGGAAGAGGAAGGGGAGGAGAGGGGATGGGAGGGGACGTGAGGGGAAGGGAGGGGAGGGATAGGGATCTTGAAGTGGGGAAGGGCAGTGCAGGTGTGAAGGGCCGGTTTGCCTGCTTGAGGACCTTGGACCGCGCCGCTTCCATATCCTGCTGGCATGGAGAGAGGGGGGGAAGGAAATGGAAGAAGGGAGGGGATGGAAGGGCAAGGGGATGGGAAGTTGGAGTAGAGAACGGTATGCAGGTGCTCACGTGCGCGCAGGTGCTCCTGCACCTCCTCCTGCAGCAGGCGTCTATGTTTGAGGAGCAGGGGCCTGAAAACCACACGCACCCGTGCCACGTTGAAATCACTTTTCAGAATCCTCAAAAGTGATTTCAATATAGCCTGAAAACCACACGCACCCGTGCGACGCGGTGCAGGTGCTCGCGTGCGCGCAGGTGCTCCTGCACCTCCTCCTGCAGCAGGCGGTTGCTCTCTTGCAGCTGCTGCGTGCGCTCCGCCACGCGCTGCTCCAGCTCCGCGTTCAGGCGCAGGATCTCGGCCTCCTTGCGCTTGAGCTCGCTGATATCCGTGCTCACGCCGATCACCCCCACCAGCTGGTTCGCCTCGTCCATCACTGGCGTGTCCACCACCTGCGGAGGGGCGAGAGGGGGGGAGGAGAGCGAGGGGGAGGGGAGTGCAAGGCGCGGGAGGTAAGAGGAGAGGGAGACGGAAGGGAGAGGAGAGGGAGAGGGAAGGGAGAGGGGAGAGAGAGGGGAGGGAGAGGGGAGGGAGAAGGGAGGGAGAGGGGACGGAGAGGGGAGGGAGGGGAGGGAAGCAGGAGGGAAAGGTGAGAGAGAGGCGAGGGAGAGGGAGGACGAGGGAGGGCGAGGGAGGGCGAACACATGGCACCACGGCATGCTGAGGGAGCATAGTGAGGGGGCGTGGATGCACCTCATGCGCTCCCACCCCCCCCCTAATCGCTCCCTACCCCATGCGCCACTCCCACAAACCAGCTCTCCACCAAGCATCACCTCAATCCGGCCCGCTTCCCCATTTCCCTCGCTTTCCCCCCTTCCCCCAATTTCCCCCCTTCCCCGCTTCCCCCGGAGCGCCACCACCCCCTCCTCCCGGACCACTCGCCCTGCCCCCTCACTTCCCACTCCCGCAATTTCCAGCTGCCCCACCCCCCACGCCCCACGCCCTGCTGCCCCGGCCCCCCGGCCGGCCCTCGCACACACACACACACCATGATTTCAATGATGTTGCCGGCCTTGGTGCGCACAGACCACTCGCCCGACCACTTGTCGCCGTGGGAGAGCGCGGCAAAGATCTGCACGCCGCACTCGCTCATGTCCTCCGCGGGCAGCGCCAGCACCTCGAACACCAGCCGCCCCAGCACCTCCTCCGGCTCCCACCCGTATATCTCCGTTGCTGCGCGGTTCCTGGCCGCGCAGGGGCGGAGGTGAGGGGAGGACGGGGGGAAGGGGAGGCGAGGGGAGGGGAGGTGAGGGGAGGGGAGGTGAGGCGAGGGAAGGGAGGAAGGGGAGGAACGGGAGGGAGGGGAGGATGGAGGGGAATTGGGGAAGCGGGGAGAGGGAAAGATCTGCACGCCGCACTCGCTCATGTCCTCCGCGGGCAGCGCCAGCACCTCCTCCGGCTCCCACCCGTATATCTCCGTCGCCGCTCGGTTCCTGCGAGCAGGGGGGCGCGCGGGGGCGGGGAGCAGGAGGACGGGGGGAAGGTGGAGGAAGGGGAGGGCAGGGGGAAAGGGAAAGTGAGGGGCGGGAGGTGAAGAAGGGGAGGAGGGAGAGGAAAGGGGGAAGGGGGGAAAGGGGAGGGGAAGAACGGGGAGGAAGGGAGGAAAGGAGGGCGGAGGAAAGGGAGAAAGAGGAGAATGGTGGGGAAAGGGAGGAACGGGAGAGAGGGGAGGAAAAGGGGAAAGGGAAGGTGAGGGGCGGGTTGGGAGGAAGGGGAGGAAGGAGAGAAAGGGGGCAAGGGAGATAAGAGGAGGAGGAGAACGGGGAGGAAGAAGAGGAGAGGGGAGGGGCGAAGAAATAGGTGAGGATGTGAAAGGGACGGGAATGGAGGGCGAGAGAGAGATGAGAGACGGGAGGGACAAGGACAGTGGCCCGCGGTAGAGGGGATGATTTGATCTGATTTGATCTGATTTGATCTGATCTAATCAGATCTGGTTGTGATGAGTGATGAGGCGGCCCACGGCACATGGCAGGGCAGCTTCTGTCAACCTCCTCCCCTTCTGCACCATCACATCACACCATCGTCTGACCTACCAACACGTAATGCGGCACGACAAAAGATGCCATGGCGGAATTGTAAGTGATACGGGGACACCGAGAGGTGCCTGCCAACACGGGCTTCTAGCCGACGTGGGATTCCATTCCAGCAGGCGACGTGGCATACCAATAAGTGATGTGGCCCTCTAGATCCGTGACTATGATAGATTGTCCCACTGACTTGAGTAGATCCCGCTGGAAATCCACTGCACACACACACATGCCGAGAGAGGAGAAGGGGTGGGGGACGAGTGAGTGAGAAAGAATGAGAGACTGTTTGTGTGGAGCGTGCGGGCAGAGCGACAGCCTCGGCGGGCAGACTTGGATGGTGGTGGTGCGTGGTTTATCGAGAGAGCCCGGGAGAGGGGGAAAGGAAAACGGCAAGGGGAAAGGGCATCAACGTTCACAGGAAGATATTGAGCCGGGAAGCAAACCTAAGTACCCCGAGGCATTCCTTCCTCCTTGCTAAATAGCATCTCTCCAACAACAAGCCTTTCCGGTTCCCTCGGAAGCATCCAGAAGGAAAGAAATATTTCATGATATGGATGTTACTATTGTTGGAGTGGTTCGTAGCCAACAACTATCAGTGCCCCGAATTCCTGCCAATGCAGTGGCTTGCCGTAAAGGCGCGTACCTTCCTGCTTCTGGTGCCTCTCGCGCTCTTCCACCAGGGCGGACAGCCTCAGCACCTCCTCCACCAGCTGCTCCTTCAATAGGCCCTCCATCTCCGCCCGCGACACCGCCATATCGCGCCCCTTCTCGGCGCACTTTCTCGCGGTTGAGGTTGAAATTGTAGTATCGAGTAATGTCGCTCTTTTCCTTGCCTTGTATCGAGTTCTGTCGCACTTTCTTCGGCCTAGTACGCTTACTACTACCGCGACCTAGCACCCTCGGTGTTACCGCTGCTAACTTGTACGCCGTAGTATCGCTATTCCGACTTAAGCTGAATTAGGGCGGCCGACTAGGCAGCAATAAGTTATTGCCCTTCCAGATGCCCCCACAGACGGAAATCGTAGAGGACTATCGCCAGTGGCAGCAGAGACAATGCCGCGTCAGATCAATGGGCGATCGCGGCAATGCCGCTCGCCGGCGACTGCGGCGCTGGCTGCGTCATGCGTGGCGGCGCACCCTAAACCGCGTTAGTGCTGCGCGTTACTAGTAATAATATTGATACGGATGATGTTGCAGATGTGCCAACGGCAACTCATGGTTTCGCGGCCGCGGGCCGGCAGATCCCTAGACAGCCATCGCTCCTCCCGCTGCTTCTGCTACCGCCGCTGCCGCCGGTTGGTGGCCACGGTCGACCGGCTACCGTGCTCGCACTGATGGCACGACGGGCTATACGGGTGCCAGATGCCAGTGGCTCGTGTGCAGTATACGGAGACCTTACGCGATGTGGCTGGCAACAATCAATTTACGCTGGCGGCAGAACCTGACGGGTTACTAGTCGAAACGAAAGGGAAGAGTTCGTTTGACCTAAGTTGATAGATGCGGGAGCCACTGCACGTTAGACCTAAGTTGTAGGTGCGTGGCAACAGTCGTACACTCTGGGCTGTAACGCCACCAGAAACGTAACTAGGTGAAATATTAAGTTAGTGCGGTGGTACATCCAAAACAATGCGAAGTAGTTTAGCTTGGTCACGAATGGGAAATGTCCACTGATACTAGTAGCACCAGAACGAAGGACGGCTCAGGTTGCTGCTCTTTCTTCCTTTTTTGCTAGCTCCAAGAGGGGAAAATGAGCAAGTGGGAAGGCTCGCAGAGCAAAGCGAGACTGACCTGAAGACATGAATGGAATCCGCCAGGAAATCGAGAGCTCAAGTAGGTTGTTGAGAAAGGTGTGAGCAGAAGTGAGGAGTGCTCTGCTCTGCCCCCAGAAGGTACCGTGGACGCACAGTAGAGGCAGAAGAACACAGTGTTGAGGGTGCAGGGGGCCGCGGAGAAAGGTTGTGAGGTGAGGGTTGTGTTTCACTGAGTTGAGTGGGTGGCACTGGCAACGTTGGTTTGCCCAAACTAAACTTGATGTGGATGGAGAGAAATGCGGTGGTGTGGTGTGTTGTGGTCCAAGCCAGGGCGGGCGGGACGGGACCAATGAGGGCAACTGCTGCTGACATGGTGGATTTGTGGAAGGTGATCCAGAATTATGAAGCAGACCAAATTAGAGGTGGCGCAAAAAAAGGACCGAGGGTGCTTCACAAAAGAAAGTGTACTCACGTGCGTGATTTTGACAAAAAGGTGGTGACTCTCGCGCATAGCAAACAGCACTAACCCACAAAAAAACTTCGTGGCTGTTATCTGTGATAGTCCCACGTTTAGGATGGCCTCCTTTTGTTTACGATCTGTAGTAATGAAGTAAGATCGTGGGAGGACTGGAGAAAGCAGACCTCAAACTTCTGTAAGCATATTATCTAGACCCGAAGAACTTCGCTTCCGGGTTCGAGAACCCTTGTTCTGATTGCGAATCTTCGAGGGTTGAGGAAGTGGAGGAACATACATTCATGCACAAGACGGGATGCCGCCGACGCCGTGTCTTGGGGTTTGACGGAGGCGGGTAGAGGGTGCAACAGTGCGGAGGCTAGAGATTAGGGAATCATGTGGGCTGGCATTGCGTGGATTGATTACCGCACGGGCAATTGCTTCTCCCATAGAGACAGCAACCGCACCAAGCATAGAATCTAATCCAGATCATATCTAGCCGTCTACAACGTGCTCTGTACATAGTACAGATTAGTCGGCGAATTTTTTTTGCACCATATAGTAATACATACTATCTGGTATTTGAAAGGGCTGGATCACGCAAACAAAATGTTCTGGCCATACTAATATAATTTTGGTGTTTCCGTTCACTCATTATTTCAGAAAATATCATTACACTTTATAGTTTATATATTGGTTATATTTTTTACATATCGTTAATATTGCCATTTTGCATAATAATAGGGGCTTATTTATGAAATATTAAAATAGAAAATTATGTGAAATCACGTATTAATTCTATTTTACTTCGATGATTTTTAGACCTGCGTAGATTGGATGTTTTTCAATGATGGATAACGCAAAAATAGGAGGTTTACCTGAATGTAGTAATTGGAAATTGTGTAGAAAAATAGAACAATATGACTATATTAAGGTTGGGTGTTTTACGGCTGTGGTGATTGTGACTCTCTAACGAGTACATGCTCGTCCGATTCTGTTACGAGCTAGCTATATGATAGGGGTTTGGACGTAGAATAATCAGATCATGAGGCCAATAAGCAGGATGCTGGAAGAGGGGCGCTATATATGGATGTGCTTGGTGGACGTTTGGGTTTATATCATTATTTTTGGTGGAATCTCTATTTGTTTGTATGTGAAAGTGCATTATCCAATGTAAAAACACCGTTGGTCATAACCGTTTGGGTGGAAATCTAGGGTCCAGCGGCTGCTAGATCTCTCGGGTAAAGAATTCCTACATGCAGACAAAAACAGCTACTTTCCTAGAAACGTAGTATTGAGGAGATTGGAAACAGCCTGACTGTATCTAGGTTGGAGTGCAACATATTTCACAGGTTCGAATCAATTGCGCTTTGATACGCGGAGGAAAAGATCGCGATCGATTGTTCGGTAAATCTGCGGCGATTGGTCGGCCGGGCTTCCCCAATCGGCATGCGCGACGTGGCGGGAACACTTTCAATGCACATTCATCTTCCCTGCCAACCTCCTTCACCCAACACCTGGTCCATGCCTTGCTGGACGCCATGCCATCGACCTGATCGGAATTTGATACGTATGAGGTGATCTCATTCAGCGGGTCGCTCAAGTTTCTGTCAGGCTTCCGCAACAAATTCCGTTTGTAACGATGCTGCGGTTCCTGTTATGAGTTGTAAAAGAGAGTGCTCAGAATAAAGAATGTCGAGAAAGTGATCGAACTGACAATACAATGAAAGCATGTGCTATTATAGTTGCTACCCTAGCTAGGAGGGAACCTCGGGGAACGAGGTTGGGTGCAGGTTTGGCGACCAAAATGCCGGAGGCGACGCGAGGAGCCTCGCCTCGGCATCGTTGATGCTGGCCGAACATGCAAAGTCCAAAATTCGGGCTGTAAGCGTAGCAGTCAAACCCGATAAGGAATTTGGAAAAAAAAACATACATTGTCTTTCTCCTTGTAGATAATAGAAACGAAAAAATGTTCTGGTAACTGATTTTTTTAAACGATTCATTATCCAGTAAAATTCTTTATCATCTTAAATATGTACACGAATCAGAGCTCTACACCAAGTAATTCTCTTTTCATATGTGCTACAGCTGTTTTTATTGTATGTACTTCTCTTGTGTTCGTGACGAGTGCTAATTGGCGAAGAATGTTTTAGCGGGCACTGACTCGCTGCCAAGCCAATTGATTTCTTCCAGCCCTGATGCTACTCGATGCCCAAACACTCCCTTACACCTTTCCTTTCAGTCCTTCCTCCTGCCCATCCATGGCCGTGCTTCCCGGAGTTGCCATTGTTTCTGTTGCGTACCTCTCCCTTCCGAAAGCTGCAGCTCCGTTCGTTTCACGTCAGCAGACACAGCAATACCAGCAGGATTTCAGCCAACGAGGGAGGCTGACCCGCCACCATTTCCGCAATTCCCGCCCGCTCATCCCCACCGCTCCTCCCGCACTCATGGCGGACTCTCCCCTCGCTGGCCGCCACACCACCCTCGACGTTTCCGCCTCCGCGGCTGCTTCGCCTGGCGGTGGCGGAATCGCGAATGATCGGTCGGTCCTAGGGCAGAGACTGCTGGCGCTGGGCAGGGGACGGCTGAGATTGTTTCTGGACACTGCTGACGTGGCGGAATGGGAGAAATGGCTCCCTACGGGCATCTTCCATGGTGAGCCGTGAGCTGGTTGTTGAGAATTCTCGAAAGCCAGCTGACTCGATTGGTGCGTGTTGAGCGTGCACTATCACTCCGTTCCATTTCGTTGCTGTTTTATCCTGTCCTGTTCTGTTCTGTTCTGTTCTGTTCTGTTCTGTTCTGTTTGTCCCACTCCGATCAGTGAAGAATGAGGCTTGTTGTGTCCCTCCCTCTCCTCTCATACCTCCCCCTTTCTCCCTCCCCTCTCCCCCTTCGCCCCTCCCCCTCCCCTGCTCTTCCCCCGCTCTTCCCCCCTCTCTCTCCCCCTCTTCCTCTCCCTCTCCTATGTCATCTCACCGTCCCATTCCCTATGATTCGAATCCAATGCGCTCCTCTCCACCCGCACTCAGGAGTCACAACGAATCCGCTGCTTCTGGAGCGGGCAGGGAGGGAGTGCTCTGTGGACGCACTAGCGGAGCTGGCTCACACCGCATTTGGCTTGGTCAGTCGCAACCAAACCAAACCAAACCGCACAACTCCGCCCTGCTCTTCTCTTCTCTTCTCTTCACCACCCACCCCGCCTCCCACGCTCCCTCACTCCCCCTCTCTCTGTCTTTCTATCGTGGTCTCTAATTCACGATCCTGCTCCCCCTCTCCTTCACCCCCTTCCCCCTCCTTACGTTCTTCTTGCCTTATTTCAGGACTTGCTTCCTCTTCCGCACATAATCCTTCCCTCACCTCTCACTGTTCTATCCCCCACAACCATCCCTCATCCTCATTCCTCCATCGCCCATCCCTCATCCTCATTCTGCTGTTATGTGCATCCCCCATTGCCCGCCTTCCCACCACCGCCCCCCCTTTCCCACCCCCCCGTTGCGGCACGCCATGCATTTGGCGTTGTGTGTGCGCGCGTGCGTGTGTGTGTGTGTGTGTGCGTGTGTGTGTGTGTGTGTGTGTGTGTGCGTGCGTGCGTACGTGCATGTGTGTGTGTGCGTGCATGTGTGTGTGTGTGTGCATGTGTGTGTGTGCGGCGCACCCCACGGGGAGGAGAGCAGGGAGCGCAGGAGATACAGCTACAGACATGGGGAGCCACGGTGGACGAAATGGTGGAAACGGGGAAACGCCTCGGCATCATCGATCCCCGCGTCGTGGTCAGCCTTCTAAACACCCCCTCTGCTGCCTTGCTGTCTTTTGATGCGCCTCAAAAGTCGTGTCGTGGTCAGCCTTCTAGACAACCCCACTGCTGCCTTGCTCTCCTGCCGCTCTGCCGTGCTGCCCTGCAGCTGTGACCTCTCTGCTTGTACCCACCTTCACAGGCTTTCTGCCTGCTGTTTTGACCTCTCTGGCACTATCGTTCGGCCTAGTATTGCAAGATCTTTCACCCCAATGGGATAATTTGGCTCTGGCCTGCCAAGGATAGCCAAGGATACTAAGGCACATAGCATAGTACCAAGGTCTGGTCTGAAGTCGCTATGTGCCTTGGGAGGGGTTTGCTTTGCTTTACTCAAGTGCTGGTGCTGCGGCTCTGTGCATGTGCAACCTTCATGTTTGTGGGGACGGGTGGCAGATCAAGATTCCAGCGACAATGACTGGCATCCAGGCAGCACGGCAGCTCATCTCCACATGGGGCTTCCGAGTCACCCTCACTGCCGTCTATGCCTCACACCAGGTGCCATGCCATGCCATGCCATGCCATGCCCTCATACACACTCATCCACACACACATGCACATACCCACAAAGGCACCTCCATGCTGAATCACACTCGTCGTTTCCAACTTTCCAGCCTCTCACCACCTCTGAACCTGCACTCTGTGCTGGTGTGTTGCTGCTGCTCATCATGATTCATCGAGGTGACTTTTGATTTAACTCAGAAGTCACCTTGATTCATTGTCACCATGATTCATTGTCACCATGATTCATTGTCACCATGATTCATTGTCACCATGATTCATTGTCACCATGATTCATTGTCACCATGATTTATTGTCACCATGATTCATTGTCACCATGATTCATTGTCACCATGATTTATTGTCACCGTGATTCATTGTCACCATGATTCATTGTCACCATGATTTATTGTCACCATGATTCATTGTCACCATGATTCATTGTCACCATGATACATTGTCACCATGATTCATTGTCACCATGACTCATCGTCACCATGACTCATCGTCACCATGACTCATCGTCACCATGACTCATCGTCACCATGATTCATCGTCACCATGATTCATCGTCACCATGACTCATCGTCACCATGATTCATCGTCACCATGATTCATCGTCACCATGATTCATCGTCACCATGATTCATCGTCACCATGACCGTCTGCCGCTGACAACTCGCCCCTACACACCGCACCACCTCTCCTCTTCACCAACCTTGCATCCACAGGGCCTCCCTTGCATCCACAGGGCCTCCCTTGCATCCACAGGGCCTCCCTTGCATCCACAGGGCCTCCCTTGCATCCACAGGGCCTCCCTTGCTTCCTTCCCTTATGCGCCAACCATGCATGCGCACATCACACGCGCTCATCCCGTCTCCCCCGCCCTTCCTTTCCCCGTCCCCGAGTGCAAGCACCAGGTGCTGCTGGCCCAGGGAGTGGGGGCGCAGAGATGACTTTTGAGTCGACCCAAAACTCATCCCCTCTCCCCCGCCCTTCCTCTCCCTGTCCCCGAGTGCATGCACCAGGTGCTGCTGGCCCAGGGAGTGGGGGCGCAGTATGCAGCACCATACCTGGGGCGAATGGACGCCCTGGGTAAAGACGGCAAGGCTGAAATCATCGCCATGCAAGTATGTGCCATGCCACCCAATGCCACCCAATGCCACCCAATGCTACCCAATGCTACCCAATGCTACCCAATGCCACCCAATGCCACCCAATGCCACCCAATGCCACCCAATGCCACCCAATGCTACCCATTGCCACCCAATGCTACCCAATGCCACCCAATGCCACCCAATGCCACCCAATGCCACCCAATGCCACCCAATGCTACCCAATGCCCCCCATGTCATGCTCGGCATGCCACACACATTCACAGCACACACACACACAGCAGTCCTCTCGCCAGCAGCCCTGCCACCCCACCCACACCCTTCTCGCCGCTTACTTTCCATCCCCTTTCCCGCTCCCACTCTCGGCCGGATCTTACAGCAAGCGGTGTCAGCAATGACACCTCCTCTTGGTGGCGAGTGTGAGAGCACCAGAGGAGGTGTCGTTGCTGGCAGCATTTCAACCCCCCTGTCAAACCCCATGTCAAACCCCATTGCAAACCCCATTTCAAACCCCCCTCCCACTCCCATCCCTCACAGCAAGCGGTGTCAGCAGCGGGCAGTGCGACGCGGGTGCTGGTGGCGAGTGTGCGAGCACCAGAAGAGGTGTCGTTGCTGGCAGCAGCAGGAGTGGACACATTCGCCCTGCCCCCGGCCATAGTGGCCCGCATGCTGCACGTCCCGGAGACGGAAACAGCTGCTGCTGATTTCGAGCGTGCAGCTCTGGCCCAAGCGCCCAAGGACAACTGACGGGAGCGCAGCTCAAAACAGAGCTGTCTTTGTCTTTGTCTTTAGGTGCTTGAGACGTCTCAAAGCAACTCTGTTTTTACACGTAGCTCTGGCTCAAGCGCCCAAAGACAACTGACGGGAGCGGGAAAGCGGGAAGGGTTGACTTTTGAATCGACTCATAGGTCACCTTGCTTGAGCGCGCAGGGAGAATTGACGGCAGCGGGAACACGGGACGGGTTTTGCGAGGCGTTTTGGAACAGGGATCACAGGTTGTAAGGCTGCTGCTGAGGCCAGAATGGCTTGAGCCGGGCCAGGAAGGGAGAAGCTGGGGGAGGTGCCGCTGGCGAATCGTGGAGCGGAGCGGAATGAAAGACGGGGTGGACAGGGTGGACAGAGCACCTCACAGTGGGTTGGTTGGTGGCGGGAGGCTCTTTGAGGAAAGGTGTTCCTCATTGCACTACCATAGTACGGCAGGCAATTCAGAATTGACGTGTAGTTGATGCGTCATGGCAAGGGTGTATGTATTGGTCTCAGATTCTTAGGGTACATTCCTGTGGGGACACTTGTGTCTCAATCCCCGTTTTCCCGAGTCGCGCCTGTAAATTTGCCAAATGTTGTGTCACAAACAACCAATGTATCGCGACCCTGCGCGACAGATGGGCACAGCCAGGTGGGTGCGTACTATTGGTTGCGACCAATAGGATTGTGCCCACCCAGTTTTCCCGCCGGGCAGGGGGGCTAAACATATCGCACCACCTCGAGTATCGCGGTGGGCTTGCCACAGAAATGAAAGTTGCAATTTGGGCCACCCCACACACAACAGCATGTATACAACCAGTCATATGTCAGCCCGGGCAGAGCGGTTTCCATCCCCGCGCGGAAACGTGCCCAGTTCGGGCGTCCAGGTGCATGCTGTACAGTGTGAGATTTCGACACGCGTGCGATTTTCGGGATGTGACGGGGCCTCGTGTAACTCGTCCGCGACACAAGCGCAATTCACGCCAACCAATGTAAAATACAGTGGGACTCGCATAAGCGCGATCCGCTTTTGTGACAGGGCACGGTATATGCTGTTTTTAGATGTCACAAAGTGATTGAGACACAAGTGTCCCCGCAGGAATGTACCCTTACTGCGTTGATATGCGTTTGGATCAGTGCACCAGTTGGCTTACCCGGTTCACTTGATGATCTAAAACATGACCCAAGTGCATGAGATGATCATACAACAAATACATGTGCTGTGCTTACTTGCTTGGTGAATCCATGGGCGCAACTGCCTACCAACCATCACCTACACTACACTATGATACATGGGTCATACACCGACCTGATTACTACCTAAAGCCTATGGCTTTGCCACAAGGGAACATGCATATGTGGCACATGGCACATGGCTCATGGCTCATGGCTCATGGCTCATGGCACATGGCTCATGGCTCATGGCTCATGGCTCATGGCTCATGGCTCGTGGCTCATGGCTCGTGGCTCGTGGCTCGTGGCTCGTGTGTGAGTTGAAGCCAATTGCATGGATGAGACACTGGTTCAATGAGTGGGAAGGGGAGGTTGGCAGCAGAGCAAGTGTGCATCACGATAGGGTGTACTGCAGTTGGGGAGGAGACGGGCAGAGGAGAGAGGAGAGAGCGGGCGTGGCAGGTACAGGGCATGTTGCTAGGGGTTGAGAAGGCATGTGAAAGGTCTGAATTGTGCTGCTCGCACTGCAACTGCTGCTGCTGCTGCTGCTGCTGCCACTACCCCTGCATGTGAGAGGTCCATCCAGCAAGCAACCTGCTGCTGACTCCTCCCACCAGCAGTCCCCTAACGAGTCCGTCTGCTCCCATGCACCCCAGCACCTCGATTCCTCCCCTCCCGCTACCGGCCCAGAGCACACCACCTCCCCACCCTGCTCGCGTTCCTCATGATCCCCCTGCCTTTCTTGATGCTGCCTCGCCGCCGTGCCTGCTGCAGCTGAGACCAGCAGCTGCTGTAGGCCCGGGTTGTTGGAGCCTCCCTCCCAGGAGCAGGGGCCCGAGAGCGCAACAGTAGGGGCGGCGGCATGATGCTGCAGGTGACATTGGTGATGAGAGGTATACGAGCTGCCGTTCCAGTGGCGAGCATCAGTGGGAGTACTGACGGGAGCGCAGGCATCGGCAGCAGCACCACCGCCAGCATCGACTTGAAAAACATCATCATCAGCAACAGCAGCAGCAGCAGCAGCGGCATCCCCAGGTAGCGTCATCGGCACGGCATTGAGAGCGGATTCAAGAGCAAGCAGGGACCTGCCAGGGCGGGAGGCAGTAGGCAGTCCCAGCGCCGCCTCACCCCTGTCCTTGCCTCGCCCTGCTCCTCTCCCTCTCGCCTTCTCCCGCTTGCTCCGCGCCCACCACTGCTGCTGCCACTCCCACGCCTCCCCTGCCCGCACCAGCGCCTGCTGTAGCTCCTGGTTTCTGCGAGGGGACACGCACGCATGCACACACACACGCACACACACACACACGCACACGCACACGCACACGCACACGCACACGCACACGCACACACGCACGAACGCACACACACACAAACACACAAACACACACAAACACACAAACACACACACACGCACACACACACGCACACACACACACACACACACACGCGCGCGCGCGCGCACGCACACACACACACGCACACGCACACACGCACACGCACGCACACACACACGCACGCACACACACACACACACACACAGAGCAGTGGCAACCGTTGAATGATGGGAACCATGGGAAAAGGAGGAGAAAATGATTGGACAGCAAGAAGGTGGGTTTAGAGTGTGTCATGCTGTCTGTTCATCTCATTCTGTGAAGGTTCCTGTCCACGAGGCCAGGCCTATGCTGGCTGTAACACGTCGCGCCTGTGCGCTGCTTCTCCCGCTGTTCCCCTCTACTTCCCCCATCATCCCCGCCATACTTCCCCATAACCTCCCTCCTCCTCTCCCCTCCCCCCCCCCCCCCCCCCCCCCGCCACCTATTCCCCCATTTTGCGTCCCATCCGCCAGCAGTCACCTCGCGCGGTGCTTAGCGACAGCCACGTGGAAGCAGAACGACACGTATGCACCCAGGAAGATCTGCAGCACGCCCAGCGTGAGCAGCAGCAGCAGCAGGAAGCGCATTCGGCGCGTCAGCAGCCGCACGCGGCGCCGCTGGAAGCGCAGCCACGCCGCGGCGGCCTCCGCCTCGTCCGGCACGGATTCCGGCGGGGACCAGTCGGGCGCTAACCATGGCTGGCGGCGCTGCTGCAGCTGGTGGTGCAGCAGCGATAGCGCGGCTAGCGGGCGGTCCACTTGCGGCCGACACATGGCGGGAGGAGCGGCGGAGTTGGAAGAGAGGGAGAGTTGAAGAGGAGAAACGTTTGAATGAATCGTCGAAAGGAATGGTTATCGGACCTGTTCGTTCAGCGATTTTTTGAATCGTCCGTCAGCAGTTTCGTAGATTGTCTTTGTCTCTCCGGCGCAAAGACGGTTGAACGAGAAAGAAGAGAGAATAGACTCGGAATGTGAGGTACGACGAGTTCAGGCGCAGCGCAACTAAACAGGTGGGGGCGAGGGAACAAGCATGGTGTTGCTGCTGCTGACGCGGCTGGAATGAATGGTGCGAATGTGAACGAACCTCGCAGATGACACGAAGGGCAATGAATGACAGACGGCAATTTGCTGACGTACGATTTTGTAAATGTTACACCACCATTATTCATAGATATAAAAGAATCACCAACGACGAATCATTCTCATCATTTCACTTCCCCTGGGCTCACAATCACATCTTAGCATCAGCTTTCATAGGCTGATCTCAATCATTTGACTCAGCCTTCTTTCTTTCTCAACTCTCCTCCCCTCCATCTCCACATCTCTCGCACCATGTCGCCATCTCAACACATCGCCCATAAATTCTATTGTCATCACACCAGCCCGCCAGATTCATCCGTATCATCCTGCACGGAAATGGCAGCAGGCCTCCAGGCGGTGCCAGCAGGGGTGTCCATGAGCATGATTCCCACGAGGGCCAGCTCATCGCGAATCGCATCCGACTGCGCAAAGTCCTTGGCCTTCCTCGCCTCATCGCGCTGCTCCAACATCCCCTGCACCTGCTCTGCGCTCATCCCTGCCCGTTTCAGCGCCAGCTGCTTCAGCTCCTCCAGCAGCTGCGGTGGGGATAAGAGGGGAAGGAGAGGAGGCGCAGTGAAAAGGAGAGTGTGCGGGAGAGAGGGTCCGGCAAGCCAGTGAGAGGGTTCAGCAAGAGTAGTGAGAGAGTGAATGACCAAGGCACAAGGCTGCGCCAGCTGCTTCAGCTCCTCCAGCAGCTGGCATGGAGAAGGCGGGGAAGGGAGACACGGCGAGCGAGAGCGAGGGAGCAGGAAGGATCAGCAAGCGAATTGAAAGAGTGAATGATCAAGGCAGACAGTTGCTGCGAGTGAGTTCTTGCAGTCGCTGCGTGCAGGTGCTGGAAACTACCGCTGCTTGAGACACTTGCTAGAGATGGATGCTAGGGATAGATACTGGTGGGAGGTGGTGCAGAACGGTGGTGGAGACTAACCGGGGAGAATCCAGTGGTGGGGAGGCCGAGGAGGGCGAGCACGGAGAGCACCGATTCCTGCAGCACCATGAGCGATGGCAGCCTGCTGGGATCCTTCTTGTACTGCCATGGGCACAGCACGTGCAGAGAGGGCAGAGAGGACAGAGAGGGCAGAGGGGACAGAGAGGGCAGAGAGGACAGAGAGGGCAGAGAGGACAGAGAGGGCAGAGAGGGCAGAGAGGACAGAGAGGACAGAGAAGGTGCAGAGAGGGCAGAGAGGACACAGGGTGAAACCGAAGAATGGACAGACAGGCAGCACATGAGCTTGGGAGCGTGTTGATGGGAGAAAGCACGGAAACAAACAGCAGAGCGCGCGATGGTACGTGAAAGCATTCTGCGTATCAACCTCACATGCACCAACCACTCCCCTTTCCCCCACCAACCTCTCCCCCCAACCCCCATCCCCACCCATGTACCGCCACTGTGCATGTGTATGTGTGCGTGCATGTGGGCGAGTGCGCAGTGACGGACCTTCTTGGCCCCCAGCAGGTCCGCCATGAGCTTGAGGGGCTCTGAGAGACTCGCCACTGCCTGCGCCGTGTGTAGATCGTCCGCCAGCGCTGCTGCTGCCGCCGACCGCACCTGCGCTGCTGCTGTTACCGCTGCCTTGGCCGGCGCAGGAGGCTTGGATGCGCCTGCACTGGACGAGACCTGCTGCTGCTGTTGGCTGTTGGCGGCTTCACAGTCGGCCAAGAGCTGGATGGATTGAGAGGGGGAAGTTGGGCCTCGAGAGGAGGGGAGTGCGTCAGTGCGAGTGAGAAGGGGAGCCGTTTTTCTCACAAACCTGGTTTCGCACAAAATCGATTCGGCACAAACCTAGTTTGGCACAGAGTCAGTTTGGCATATCTCCGGTTTGGCATAAGTATGGATCGGCACGGGCCTGGTAGAGGTCAGAGGCACAGTCGAGGTGGCGATCGCTGTAGTTGATAACTGTTGTTCAGTCGTGCTTCTCAGAGAGCAGCAGTTATGTAGCCTAGGCTTAAGCAAATGAACCACAGTGGTAAAACGCTCTGTAAAACTAAGTGCTCAAGCGATTCTCAAAGCCCAAATCTCAGCAGTAGAGTAAAACAAGGACAAATATGTTTCGGCCCGGCTGAAAGGGGGAGACCCAATCGAGCCTTCATCACCTGGTAGAGGTAGAAGACGCGGTCAGAGGCGCGGTCGAGCTGGCGGTCGCTGTAATTGATGGGCGAGCGGTAGTGCGTGCTCAGCAGGAACCACCGCACTGCCACCGCGTGGAAACGATCCAGCACCTGCCGTGCAGAGAAGCGAGGGGCGGGGAGGGGAGGGGAGGGGGGAGTGGGGAGGTGGGGGGGTTGCGAACTTGAAAGTCGACGCAAAACTGGTGCGTGGCACGTGGAGGGCCGGCTTTGAGGCGTGTGAAACAGAGGAGGGACCAGCACACTGCCACTTTCAACCGAGCGTGGTAGCAATCCGAGTCACTTTCAGAGATTCTTAAAAGCTCCTGCTGTGGTATCGAGCGTGGGGTGGGATAGGACGGAAGGCGAGGATTGAGAATTGGGAGTAGAGTCGGAAGGAGGAGGATGTGGGGAGGGGAGAGTGATGAGGAGGACAGCGGGAAGGGTAGGGTAACGAGGGCGAGGGAGCAAGCAAGGTAACGTTCTGCTGATGAACCCCATTCCTCCCCCCTCCCCCTCACCTCCTCCCTCTCCCCCACACTGCCCCCTTCCCCCCATGGTGCATCAAAGGAGGGCAGTGCACAGTGCAGCAGACCTCGCGGATGGTGAAGAAGTTCCCAAGGGACTTCGCTTGGACATCTCTTCTCTGAGTCCACATTCACAACTTCGAGACATCTCAAAAGACGTCCCAAAGCTTGAAAGCTTCGAGACGCCTCAGAAGTCGGCTTACCTCGCAGACGGTGAAGAAGTTCCAGGGACTTGGACATCTTCTCCGAGTCCACGTTCACAACTCTTAAGAATTCCCAATAGATGTCTATAAAGACTCACATGCCTTGCGACCATCTCACAAGTCAGCTGACTTACCTCGCGGATGGTGAAGAAGTTCCCAAGGGACTTGGACATCTTCTCCGAGTCCACGTTCACAAAGCCGTTGTGAAGCCACACCGACACCCCACACGCCGCCTCCCCCTCCTCACTGCCATGCTCCCCTGCGCAGTGCAAACACCCCTCCTGCTGCTGCTCATGCACATGCTGCTGTGCCTGAACAGCACCATCACCAGCAGCAGCCGCCGTCGCCGCAGCAGCCGCAGCCGCCGCAGCTTTGCTCTGAGCGAGCTCGTTCTCATGGTGCGGGAAGATGAGGTCGCGCCCACCCCCGTGGATGTCAAATCGGAAGCCCAGGTAGCGCTTGCTCATGGCGCTGCACTCTATGTGCCACCCCGGCCGCCCCTCGCCCCACGGACTGGCCCACGACACCTCGCCCAGCTTGGCACTCTGGAGGAGAAGAGGGGGGAGAGGCAGGAAGGGAGGTTCGGAAGGGGCATGAGGGGATGGTGTGGTGTGGGTGCGGGGGCTAGGGGTGATGTTGAGGCAGGGGGGTAGGGTGGGACGGCGCGGGCAGGGGAATAGGATGGGATGTGGGAGTGGGGTGTTGGAAAGGGGTGGAATGTCGAATCGGAAGCCCAGGTAGCGTTTGCTCATGGCGCTGCACTCTATGTGCCACCCCGGCCGCCCCGCACCCCACGGACTGGCCCATGACACCTCGCCCGACTTGGCACTCTGCAGAGAGAAGGGAGAGAGGTTCGGCACAGGGAGAGGTTCAGCAGGGGGAGAGGATCGGCAGAGGCATGAGGGCATGGTGTGGTGACGGTGTGGGGGGTTGAGGTAGATGTTGGGGCATGGGGTGCGGTGCGGTCGAGGGAATAGGATGGGATGTGGGAGTGGAGTGTGGGAAAGGGGTGGGGTGTGCCAGTCAGCAACCAGCAGTCAGCACAACGCGCACAGCACAACGCGCACCTTCCACAGAGGATTTCCGAGGCGGCCAACAAATCGTGTCATCTGTCGAGTTTTTGAAACGCCTCATATCTTGAGCCAGCACAGCAAATAGGATAGCAAGCAGAACAGCAAGCAGAACAGCAAGCAGAACAGCAAGCAGAACAGCACGCAGAACAGCAAGCAGAACAGCACGCAGAACAGCAAGCAGAACAGCAAGCAGAACAGCAAGCAGAACAGCACGCAGAACAGCAAGCAGAACAGCACGCAGAACAGCACGCAGAACAGCACGCAGAACAGCACGCAGAACAGCACGCAGAACAGCACGCAGAACAGCACGCAGAACAGCACGCAGAACAGCACGCAGAACAGCACGCAGAACAGCACGCAGCACATCACCCACCTTCCAGAGGGCGAAGTCAGCCGGGTTCCTCTTCCTCTCGTCCACTGCCACCCGCTCGCCCGCCCGGTTCTCCTCCTGCCGCCGCCCCGACAGCTGGCCATACCCCTCCGCTTTGTCCACATCGAAGAAGACATCCCCGCCATCCACAACATAACCGGCACCCGAATCCACTATCTGGGGAAAGAGAGCAAGAGAGGAGAGGATGGGAGGTGAGGACGGGGTGGGAGGGGGGGTGGAGGTATGGAGAAGGAGGGGCATGGCGTGGAGTGGCAGTGCAAGTGGGCATGGCACGGCATGGGCGGTTGGATGTATGATGGTATGGTATGGTATGGTATGGTATGGTATGGCATGGTATGGCATGGTACGGTACGGTATGGTATGGTATGGTATGGTATGGTATGGTATGGTATGGTATGGCATGGCATGGCATGGCATGGTATGGTATGGCATGGCATGGCATGGCATGGCATGGTATGGTATGGCATGGCATGGCATGGCATGGCATGGCATGGCATGGCATGGCATGGTATGGTATGGTATGGTATGGTATGGTATGGTATGGTATGGTATGGTATGGTATGGTATGGTATGGTATGGTATGGTATGGTATGGTATGGCATGGTATGGTATGGCATGGCATGGTATGGTATGGTATGGTATGGTATGGTATGGTATGGTATGGTATGGTATGGTATGGTATGGTATGGTATGGCATGGGATGGGATGGTATGGGATGAGATGGCATGGCATGAACATGGTACCATGGTGCAGCATGGCATGACGAGGAGCATGGGAGCGCACCTGTTGGATCATGTGGATGATGTCGGGGATGTGCTCGGACACCTTGGGCTCATGCGTGGGGGGCAGGCACCCCAGCGCATGCATGTCCGCATGGAACTCCGTGATGAACCGACGGCTCAGATGCAGCGGATCCTCGCCCAGGTCTAACGCGCGCTTGATGATCTGAGGCGGGGAGGTGGGGAAGAGAGAGAGAAGGTGCAGGGTCCGAGAGACGGACACAGATCGTTGGTGAATGAAACGAACGGAAGGGTCCGAGAGAAGCAACGCTGCTGCAGCTGTGGCGGCGGCGGCGGCGGCGGCAGCAGCAGCAGCAGGATGAGGAGGAGGAGGAGGAGGAGGAGGAGGAGGAGGAGGAGGAGGAGGAGGAGGAGGAGGAGGAGGAGGAGGAGGAGGAGGAGGAGGAGGAGGAGGAGGAGGAGGAGGAGGAGGAGGAGGAGGAGGAGGAGGAGGAGGAGGAGGAGGAGGAGCAGCAGGTGCGTGCATGGGAAGGGAACGGACCTTGTCGTCAACATCAGTGAAGTTGCGCACGTAGGTGACGTCATACCCCATGTGCTGCAAGTACCTGGTGACATGGCAACACAGAGAGAGCAAGCCAGGCGCACATGGGTGCACAAAGGAGCATACGGTACGGGGACACATGGGGGCACATCAGGGCACAGATGGCAAAACACACATGGATGTTTTCAGTTGCTCGCAGTAATAAGAACAATAGCTTCAAATAATCATTGTCATCGTCATCACCAGCATCATCAAGTTTACAAGCAGACTGGAAAAACGACCTGGGCAGACGAGGAAGTCAAAGAGAGAGGAGAGCAGAAGAGGCATCCTGGGGCATAATATAGGCATGCAGAGGACACACACACACACACTCACCCACCTGTAGAGGACGTCGAAAGAGACGTACACGCGGGCATGTCCGATGTGACTGTAATCGTATACAGTCACACCGCACACATACATGCCCACGTGCCCAGCCCGCAGCGGTACAAACTCCTCCTTGCTCCGACTCATCGTGTTGTGCAGCATCAGCTTCACCGCCTCTCCCTTCCCCTTCCCTTTCCTCTTCTCAGTCGCCTTCACATCCCCCTTCTGCTTTCCCTTGCCCGTCCTGCTCGCCTGCTGCCCTGCCTCATCGCCATTCACTGCCCCGCTGGCACTTGCCTCCTCCTCCTCCGTGTCCGCGCCCGCACCTCCCGTTTTCTCCTCCGTCGCCGTCGCACTCGTGTCCACATTCGCGCCGGCCCGCGCGCAGGCCCCTCTGAAGCCACTCTCCCTTTTGAGTCCGCCGCAGGAACTTCTGCTGCTGAGGGGCAGAGCGGTTGGGGGGAGTGAAAGGAGGCTGCAGTGGGGTTGGGGAATGCTTCGCAACGGACCAATCGTCGTTCCGTAGCAGCGATGGCGGAGAGAGAGCGCCGATCTTTGCGCTTGGCGCGAAACGGCGCTGCATTGGCGGCTGGGGCTGCTGCTGCTGCTGCCGCCGCAATTCACGCTGACCAATCGCATCCTTCTCTCAAAACTGAAACCGCCGCCATTTAGTCCCGCGTCGCGGCGGTATACATTAACTTCTCCGCTTTCACGGCCCTGCGCCGTGGTTTCGCGTTCCAATATCCCTACTCCTTGCCGCGCTGTCCCGCTAATACCAGTACTGCGCGGAGCGGCTGCATTCCGCAAAACGCCCATAGCCCCCGCCATGAGCGCGCGGGCCTGGCGCAACGGCGTCGCGGCGGAGGCTGCGGCGGAGCGGTGCAGGCAGTGCGCAGGGGAGAAAGTGGGCGCAAAGGCGGAAACCGTGGCCATGGAGAGGCGCCTCAGCGCGCGCGCCGTGTTGGCCGGCGCGGGAAGGTAACCCAGCGTTACTGGCCCGTGATTGCGACTCTGCAACCGTTATAACGAGGTTGCAAGCGCAATTGGCTCTTAGTGAGGCGCTACCGAAGCAAGAATGGGGTGGAGAGGGAAATGGAGGTTAGAACAGTTTCGCGAAGCGTCGCCATGTAACAATGGCGAAATCCTACACAAGTGTGAGCTATAGAGCTGGAATTCTGTTGCAAGAATTAAAGAGCTTTGCAAACGCAGTAGAAGGATCAACGGAAGGAAGGAGAAAAAAGTTTGCACCCCACCCCACTTAGATTGACTATGCGAAACTGTGCCCTTTGCTAGAAAGGCATAGTGCCGTCGTAGCGGAAGCCTTGATTGTAGAAGAGAATAGCAAGAGAACTTTGCAACTGAATGGATTTAGAACAAGAAAATGGTAATGAGAGCACACAGCAGGGTATTTATCCATGCAGCTACCCTGCCAAAGTCTAGCCACCCCCACCAATAATTGTACCTCCAATGGTACCTCCAATAATTCTACCCCAATAGCCCTGAACTCCAATAATGCAGCTCCTACAATAATTGCACAAGTATTGTAGGGCCTAGATGCTTATATAGGGGATTGCACTAAAACCTAACAGCATATAATATTCTGATGCTTTATATTTCCAACACTCCCCCTTGCTGTTGGTTTTAGTGAAGTTCATTCCTGTGGAGGATGGGGGGGATAAGGTGGTTTACCACAACCAAACTCCGCTAGGGTTTGAAGTTACGGACGCGTTGCTTCCGTTGATTGCGGAAGGATTGCAACTGTAGCAATTTCACGTGTTCCTTTTTCTGCTGCACGAATCTCCCTATAGGTGGAGTTTCGACTACTGTTGCTCTTCCCTCCTGTCTCGCCAATTCCGCTCACACCTCTTCCCCGATTTTCTTCTTGTCGAGGGCTGCTCCTCCTCTTGCTCGTGACTCTCTCCCTCACGAATTGGTCTCTAGCGAGTTCACCCTGCTCATGTAGATCAGATCTCATAGCATTTTCTCAGCAATGGCTTCTGTTGACGCCCAAACCGTAGGCATTCATGGCGAAATGTCGACTAAGCAAGTCGAAATGATGTAGATGCAGCCGCAGTTGATCAGTTAGCAGCAGCCCGTATTTCTTCCTCAGCAGCAGTTGGCACGCGACTGCTGTTGTATGTCGCGATGACCTGTAGGAGCAGCTGGTGCGCGTCGCGGCTGGCGACGTAAAACCAGCAGTCGCGTCCTGGCGTGCGACTGCTGCAGCTGATGCGTGACGCCTTCTCATGGCGCACAGCTGTGGATTCTGACGCGTAACATTTGCAGCTGGCGCGCGATATGGTAGCAGCAGCTCTGCTGCATCAGGCGACCAGCAGCTCTTGCACCTTGAACATTTCTCCTTGCATCGCTTCACCAGCTTCTCCTAATCGCAATCTTCCTCTTCCTTGTATTTCTTGTCACCACCTGCAGGCGGCGGAATGCAGCAACGGATGGCGGCGCACGGCAGCAGCAGCTGGTGAGCAGCATCAGTGTGCCCTGACAGGCGGCGGCAGCACCAGCAGCGCTTGACGAGCGGCGGCCGCGTTAGCAGCTCCTGCAGGGCAACTTCTCGTGCCGACCAGCAGCTTCAACTTCAACATTGTGCAGCAGGTGTCGCACATCAGCAGCACTACCCGGTGCTCGGCTGCAGCATCAGCGGGTTGCAGTGGCGACACACTCGCGGCAATAGCGGCGGATGAGCTGCAGACGACTAGCAGCAACGGGCTGCTTACCCATTCTTCTGCTGAGGTGAGGTGTTCCTTACGGGTCAGATCCGTTTGAGCAAGTGTTGTGCTCTTCTCTCTGCCGCACCCAAGTCCTGCCTTCTTTCACCCTCGTATCTTACGCACCCTTGTTACCCTGTGCTGCCCCCCCTCCTACACCAGGTGGCACACGGAAGCAGCTGAACATGGCGGCAGCAGCTTCACCCTCCCGCCTGCAGCTCCACCTGCTGCCATGCAGCAGCAGCTAAGCGGCTCACAAGCTGGTGGTGGACAGCAGCCGCAACTGGTGGTGAACTGGAGCAGAAACAGCAGTGTCTGGCGAGCGGCAGCAGCACTATTAACACCTGTGGGGCGGTAGCACTTCCAGCAGCGCCTGGCACATTGCAACACCGTGGTGAGTGAGTCTCCAGCTTTCTCCCCCTGTCTCACACTATAATGGTGCCTTGTACCTCGTAATGACTTCTCTTGTTCTGAATGCAGAGTTACTCATGCCTGCTTCCACTTGTGATGCTATCCCCTTTTCACACCAGCTGGCGCACGGGAGCAGCTGCAGCCGGCAGAAGCCGGCGGACAGCAACAGCTCGCGGCCTTCTCCTGCACCAGCAGCACCCGGTTGCACACTGCAGCAACAACAGCACCTGGCCTCCGTCAGCTCTAGCAGCTCCTGGCAGAAGCGAGGCGGACGGTTGCAGGCGCATGGCAGCAGTGGCGGCAGCACCTGGCCTCCATCAGCACCAGCAGCTCCTGGCAGGCGACAGCAGCATCAGCAGCGTCTGACGCCCTGCACCTGCACTAGCTGCTCCATGGTAAGCTGGCAGATCTGTGGCTGCATCTCATGCAGCTCCACCATGCGTGCCCCAGCAGTTGCTTACTTCCTGCTCTTGTGCTTTGTTGAACTCCCTCGACTTGGATCATGCCAAGTATGATTTAACCCGTGTTGTCTTGGTATGCTTTCCCTTTTCACCAGCAGTACCAACTAACGGACAGCACTGCCTGGCGGACTGCAGCAGCGGCTGGCGGTCTGCAGCAACACCTGGCTGGTTGTACCTGACTGGCTGCACCTGGCCGGCTGCACCTGGTTGGCTGCAGAAACAGCAGCTGTCTTCTTGCACGATCAGCAGCAGCTGCCCCACAGTAAGCTGGCACACTGAAGGCTGCATCTCCTGCAGCTCTAGCACGTCCTCATACGCTTCTGTCCTTGATCCAGTATTGCTCGTAACTAACTGTGTAATCCTCCATGCACGCCACTAAACGATGTTAACGTCTTCACTTGTGGTATTTCACTCCCCCTGAAACCAGCAGTTTCACTTGAAACAACGGCTGCCCGCGGACAACAGCAGCTGTAGCACTTCAGCAAGTGCAGTCCGATTGCAGCAGCATCTGCTGGCACACGGCAGCAGCATCAGTGACCCCTTATATGAACTTCTGAAGAATGAACTTTTGCTTCCCATTTCAGCTTATAAATGCTCCACACCCCACTCCCCCTCTCACCCATGTGTTTGTGATCATGCACGTGTGCAAACACATGAGTGAGGCGTGTGGAGCTACGTGATGTCCGGTTGTGCAGCACCACTTGAGAAGCCCGCTTGTGTGAGTGTTGCACCAGCACCATGGACTTGGTGACCACACGCAGATGTTGCTTCACGTGGAATCGGTTCGACGCCGCACACGCGGCTGCAGGTGATGTCGTGTCCACTGGTGGGTGCGGGCGAGTCCTTGGTCATGTTTTTCAGCTCCTTGTACGTCAGGGCAACCATGCGCACGCCCGTAAGTGCATATCCCACCTTGTTTCCAGCACCATCTTCATCCTCCACTGGTAGAGAGACGCCTGCTGCAGGTAAGCCATTTGCTGCAGCACCTCCTTTTCCTTTGGCTGCATCGACCATAGCAGCTGCATCATTTTCCAAAATTTGGTCCATAGTCATTTCCTTCTCCCCTTGAAGTCCTCACCACAACCTGGGGTGAGACTTCATTCGCTTGCTGCTGGTGTCGAAACGAAGTCCCAGCGTCCAGCAGCATGTCATCAACGTTACGTGTCATGTTCCTCACGACACGAGCCATGTGCGCGATACGGTCGGTGACGGATGCAGGAGCAGATTGACCTTTCAATCCTCCATGGCCATGCGCATTCGATGGTGCATCCTCATGAGTATGTCCAGATTCATGGGCAGAAGCAAGTGTTGGCTCATATTCCACCATTAGCACTCCATGTACGTTCTAGCCTAGCCCAATCCGTACAACCCCATCTCCATCAGGCATGGAGATTTCGGTGTCTCCACCATCGTTGGTGTGAATCCGAGCTCCCTTTTGCAGCAGCTGACAGTAAGAGAGGAGATTAGACTTCAAACCAGGTACGTAGAGCACGTCGGTGTAGCGCACCGTTGTCCCATCGGTTGCATGTACTTTGATTGTGCCCACCATTGAGCTGTTCAGAGTGCTCCCATCAGCAAGCTCCACTTGTACTGGTTTGTCCAACTCTTTCAAACCTTCAAACCATTGTTTATCCGAAGTCATGTGCTGGCTGCATCCGCTGTCCAGCAACCATAGAGAACCTCCAGAGCTTGGTGAGGTCGTCTGTGATGATCGAACCGTCGCAATGCATGTAACCGTCAGTTTGTTGTCTTTCCCGGCTGCCCCTTGCTGCTTTATCGTGTTGTCACGTTTGGGGCTGCCACTCTTTCGAGGAGAGGTCGAACGGCTGTTGCTGGTACGTCGGTTGGTCCTCCTGTTTTGTTGTTCCCACCTCGGTGGTGACCATCCTGGTGGTGCCGTGGGACACTTGTAGAACGGGTGGCCCAGTTGCTTGCAAAACCAGCACATGAGAGTTGAGCGTCCGCCCTTTCGATCATTGCCCGTCATTTTCTCTCCGTACGTCGCTTGATGGCCTCCGTTTGAAGTTGCAACATTCTTAGTCCCGGTACTCTCTTTTGTATGCGAGCCTTTGCGTCCTTGACCAGCCATGCGTTGCGTTTCATCGTCTTGACCGTAGGAGTGATGTTCCACCATATCCACGCGATCACGTCGCAAAACACCATTTGACTGCATCCATGTCCCGTGTGCTCCACGCTCCATGCAGGATCCACTCCCATTAGTGGACGAGAAGCGCGAGGAGGTATGTTGCTGTCTTCAAGAAGGTGAGATCTGTCCATTACGGGGGCTCCAATGGAATAAGAGTTAGTGGCAAAACGTTGAAGTGGGGGAGCACCAATAGTGTAAGATTCCAATCTCACACCTTCCACGCCCACTTTATCAAATCTGCCACTCTCTTCACCAATTTGCATGTTTAACTTCGTTCTCAATGATGCTTGAAGTGTTGGCGGCGCCCTTGCAATCATGTTCTCCAGGTGCTCATGTTGAGCCAAGATTGCTTCTTCAACCGCCTCGTATCCAGTGTCGACTTCATCGTCGAACCGCGCCATTTCCTTGATCCAATCGTTGCCTCTTGCTATGACAATATGCTATCGTGCCTGCCCAATATGGATAGTAACAGGTTTTTGTCCAAATTCTGGCAGCATGCCCCCTAGAGTCGCTCTGATACCATGCTAGAAAGGCATAGTGCCGTCGTAGCGGAAGCCTTGATTGTAGAAGAGAATAGCAAGAGAACTTTGCAACTGAATGGATTTAGAACAAGAAAATGGTAATGAGAGTACACAGCAAGGTATTTATCCATGCAGCTACCCTGCCAAAGTCTAGCCACCCCCATCAATAATTGTACCTCCAATGGTACCTCCAATAATTCTACCCCAATAGCCCTGAACTCCAATAATGCAGCTCCTACAATAATTGCACAAGTATTGTAGGGCCTAGATGCTTATATAGGGGATTACACTAAAACCTAACAGCATATAATATTCTGATGCTTTATATTTCCAACACCCTTATTCCTCAACCATTGCACACAGCAACCAAGTGGGTGCCTGTACATGTACCAATGTGCATGCACACTCAGCCAAGAAAGCAGCACCAAGGCCACAAGCACAAAAATCATAAGCACTTTGAACAAAGCAGGCTCACCCACTTCACTCTCCTTTCCACCCCAATCCTGCGGTGCCAACTGGAAGAAGCAATGTAAACCCTAGCTAACACCCATGCGATCAGCTAGACGCTTCTGAACCGAGCACACGAGCAGGGCCCACGATATCAGGGCAAAACATCCTGATTACCCTGATTTCAGGATGGTGTCTTAAGTTTGCCCTGGAATTTCAGAATGATGCTGAAATTTACCATGTGACGTCAGGATGATCCTTGTGTTTTGCCCTGAAATTTCAGAATGGCAGTGAATTTTTGCCCTGAAGCGTTAGGGTGAATGTAGAGGGATTCCCTGACTCGTGGGAAGGGGAGAAAGGGTGGAGGGGGGAGAGAGGGAGAGGGAGAGAGGGGAGGAAGGAGGCTGGAGGGTGTGTGTGCTAGTTTTGTCCTCACCCCTCCCCCACCAATGTTTTTGCTCCGCCAGTACAAGTGAAACCAGTGAACAACCTGCTCCTTTCGTGCCTTCCCCTCCATCCTCTCTAGTGCCTCGTATTTTTTGCCCTGAATCATCCAGATGAATTTCAGCTGGTGCCCTGAAATTTCAGGATGGCCAGAAAATTTTGCCCTGAAGAATATGTAAAATGTTTAAAGTTAAACTTCTAAAAATTTGAAGATTGTGATTCGACTAGAAGAGGAGTTGGCTGTAAAGGAGACAAACTCCTTTTCATTCCCGCAGGTCTCTCAGACCTGCCACCTAGTCTCATTTGCATTTTCAGATCTCCAATTTGCTTCCCACTAGCACACTCCCTAAACCCCTCCTATGCCTAGAGTTGGGCATAGGAGCACTTTAATCAACGACGTGATCAACGTCAGGTTTTCAACCATGGCGTCTTGCTTTGTTTCCGCAGTAACCGGCCGACCCCCCGCTCCACGAATGGTTACGCGCAGCAGCGGAAGGCGTGCTTCCCCGCCAAGAGATGAGGATCGTGCATCTTCCTCCCGCAATCGCTCAAGATCGCCACGTCGAAATGGCGGAAACGCAACATTGACCGCGCTGGACCTGTTGAATGGCGCGAGACAGCCTCCTCCTTCTGCACCTAATGTCGTTGCCGACGGACCTGGTAACGAGCGTGGCCCCCCCGGATTTCATGTCGAGGGGCGAGCGGCACGTGCAACCAACGACCCACCTCAGCCAGGCGAAAACGCCCCCGCGCGCCAGGGTCCTGCAATCCAAGCACAAGACCGCAATGATCGCGGTCCTGCACAAGCAGATCGCAATCATCGCGATTCTGCACGTGCAGATCGCAATCAGCGAGATTCTGCACGTGCAGATCGCGACCGCGATTCTGCACGTGCAAGCCGCGAGCGGGATCCTGCGCGTGGCGAGCGTCAGATTCGGGAGCCAGCACGCGAGGATCACCGCCCCGATTCTTCAAATCGGCGCGCGAATCAGGGCGAGCAGCGAGATCTGCAGAATCCGGCAGCTGGGATTGCCGAAATCGCTGAAATCATTGCTCGCCTTGACCCCGCCAGCCAGCAGAATCTGAGGCGAATGTTCACTGAAACTGGCGGCGAACGCGTTATGGCGCGATCCAGCGCTTCTACAGGGCGCCGTGTACCCGAGAATTATTCGGCGCGCTACACTGGAAACAACACCGGAGCGGCAGCAAATAATAACGACGCAATCGGCCACGTGATCGGCCTTCTCGCGGCGCTTCAGCGCGGCAACAACGGTGAAGCCGCAGCAACAGCTGATCCTGTTCGTCCAGCTGCCGCAGCAGCAGTAGCCCGTCCCCGCGCTCCCCCTCCTCCTCTTAATCCCGAGGGTGACGACGACGACGACCACGACAACGTTGAGAACCTCGACGAAGGTAATACCACTCGTCTCAAGGCCAATCCAGCAACCATTAGTCTTGCCCCCATACCTCCTGCACGTCCTCAATTACGCTCCTCACTCGTCAAAAGCGATGGCATTCGTACTCAACTTTTTAGCTTTGAACGCATTCAAGCTATCGCTCGTCATGCCTTCTCGATTTTACCTTCCCACGGTGGCGAGCAACTCGCTGATTACCTTCAGCAAATCATTGACGAGGCTGAAGAAAAGATTCATTTCTTATTTACCGCGGATCAGCGCGGTTTTGAAGTAGCCAACATGGCTTTAAAGATTAAGTACGGCGAGGTGGTGGAAGATAAAAACGTTAAGGCCGCCACCCAGATTGTGGCGGCCAGCAAGAAAAGGCCACGCGGGCCCACATCCACTTCCCGTCCAAGCCCTGCACCTCGTAATCGAGGCCAAGGGGAACGCCATTGGACCTGGCGTAGGGATGGCGATGGGCGTTGCTTCTATTGCCGAGAGCCCGGTCACGGAATAGCCGATTGTCCGCAGCGGGGCCAAGGGGCCAACCAACCTTCTAAGATTGTTTAAGATTTGTGTTTGGTTGTTTTCTTTATTATAAAGACTATTTGGACTTACCCGTCGATCTAAACATTCCCGATATACATCAATGTCAAGAGTTGTTTATTTTAAAAGAGATCATGCAAAAAAAAAAAAAAAATCAACAAACAACAAACAAACAGACAAATAAGAAGATTATCATAACTGAGAGCGTGATTATGCATTACGCCCCTAAACTTCGCTCTTGAAAAACCAAAAAAAAAAAAAGGGGGGGGAGAGAGACACAATCAGAGAAAAGAGAAAAAGGAAAGAGACAAACAGAGAGAAGAAATAGGAGAGAGACCGATTGAAAGAGACGATGGATTCTACAATTTGGTGACACATGGGTGGGCATGTGCGCCCTACACGTCTGCCATGGTCATAGGATGGTATCTCCCCACAACGCGTTGCGTTTAATATGACTAGATAATCATATAACATGCTAATCTAATCCCGTGCGTGATCTTACCCATCCCCCTCCAGAATTTGGCTTCATGCCACACATCAAGGCACAAGGTGATGTGCGACACATGCGAGGACGCTTGCGGGAACGTTCCACATGGTGGAACTCCTGGTGCACGAGTCGCTTCATCTTGTCAGTCATTGTGTCGGGGTATCGCCTACCGTGGCGGTCACACGAACCTACCCCGCACCATGCCCCGAACCACTCGGGAGCGTTGCAACACACGGCTTTCGCGGTCGAAGCAGTGGCTGGCCTACTTGCTTCAGGCGCGGCCCGCATCGTCCCGGCCGAGGAGCCGGTCACCTGTGTTAGCCCACTAAACGTGGTTGTTCAGCCTTCTAAGAAACGACTTATACTGGACCTACGGCATGTAAATTCATTCCTTTCCATCCCTCGATTCCGGTACGAAGGACTCAACAGGGTCCCCGGCCTAGTCCATAAAGGCGATTGGTTGTTCACCATCGACCTCAAGTCGGGTTATCACCACGTGGACATTCACCCGTCATTTTGGCGGTTCCTCGGATTTTCCCTGCAAGGCCAACGATACCAGTTTCTGTCACTACCCTTCGGGCTTGCTACAGCGCCCTTCGTGTTCACACAGCTAATTAAGCAGTTGGCAAAGCGTTGGCGCAGTAGAGGGATCCGATTAATTCCTTACGTTGACGACCTTTTGTTCATATGCGCTACGCGAACCGAAGCGTTCCGGACCCGCACCATCATTCTAGACGACCTCGGGTCCGCAGGTTTTATCGTCAACACGGACAAATCACAGCTCGAACCGTCGCAACGGCTTAAATTCCTTGGCCTCATATTGGATACTAGTACAACATCCTTCTCCGTCGACGTTACCCGTCGAGATCGGTTGTTCGACGAGCTCGAGCAAATTTGTCAGATCAGCACACAGGGGCGTCGCATCCCGGTTCGACGCGCAGCTAGGGTGACAGGCATGCTAGCTTCCATGGCTATGGCGCTTGGTACCATAGCCCGTGCATTCTCCCATAACCTGATCTCTCAAATCAGTGCGTGTCAATCCTGGGGAGACTCCATCCGTTTGACGTCGGAGTCGATCGACGAGTTGCGATTCTGGCTGACACAGTTCGACGTTTTCAATGGTTCCTGCTTCCACAACCCAAATGTGTACGACATCGTCATGTACGTCGATGCAAGCGACCATGCTTGGGGAAGCTGTTACTCCACGCCAGATGGCCGTGTCGGCTCGCAATCCTTCCGATTTCCCCAGTCACTATCAGTCGCATCGAGCACGCTTCGCGAACTCGCCGGGATTCTCTGGGCACTGTCGACCTTTAGCTGCGAGATCCAACGCTCGCACGTCCTACTTCGAAGCGACAGTCAAGCGGCCTACTATATTCTAAAAAAGGGTGGTTCTCGCCAAGCCAACCTCACTCTCATCTGCCGCGCCATTATCACACTTTGTGTGCATCACAAGATTCGATTAACGGCGCAATGGATCCCCCGCGAACTCAATACCGAAGCCGACGCCCTTTCAAAGATTGACCTACACGACGACTACTCTCTCGCACGGACGTGGTTCCGTTTACTCGAGCGCCGCTGGGGCCCACATTCAATCGACCTATTTTCCTCGTCCTCCAACGCACAATTTCGCCGGTTTTGCTCCCTAGACTTTTATCCGCATGCGGTCGCCCAAGACGCGTTCTCTCTTAGTTGGAACGGTGAAAATTGCTACGCCTTCCCACCGCCGTCCATGATCCCCGCCGTCCTCGCCCACGCGCGTCGATCTCGTACTACAATAACTCTCGTTATCCCGGAATGGCCTAGCGCCTTCTGGTGGCCACTACTTTGCCCAGACGGCACTACGTGGGCGCATGATATACGGGCGAGCATATATCTCGCTCACGGTCCAACATGTCTACGTGTTGGTAGTGATACGCTGGCCTTTAGTGGTGCCGGTATCCCCCATTCGCATATGTATGCTCTTCGTTTGATATATACTAATCCATAGCCTTGTAAACATGCAGGTTCATATATTGGACGTTTGATGGGGGACCTCTTAACGCTTACTGTCGATTTGCGCGCCCAATCCACGATCCGCACATACGAACCCTACTGGCGACAGTATCGCACATTCTGTCAAGAGCATTCGTTGTCGTTTCTCCCTGCCACGGACCTAACATCCGCGCTATTCTTACTGCACTGAGTACGCAGGGGTGCCACGGTCTCCGCCGTGCGATCTGCCTGCTCTGCAATTTCTTGCGCCCACTGGTTGGTCGGCTGCCCATCTCCTATTCGAGGACCGCTCTCCTCACAAGTAAAGGAGTACGCGAAACGACACTGCGGCAAACCTTCCGTGCCAAAGGAATCTATACCCCCTGCTAAGATTTATGACATTTGCGATATCTACTTCTCGTCGACGGATCCTGCCATCTTCCAGCGCGGTCTCATCCCTCTTCTTATGTTTGCAGCTTTCCTGCGCTTCTCCGACCTCGTTGCCCTTCAATGGCACCAAATCGAGTTCGACCGCGACTGCATGTGGCTGTTCATCCCCCACTCAAAAACGGACCAGGCCGGCACAGGCGCCTGGGTCCCAGTCGCCGCCTCTTCTGCCCGCCACTGCCCTGTCACTCGCGTACGGCAATTTCTCTTCCTCGCTGGCTTCTCTGCGCAAACCTTAGGCCCCCTTATTCGGGTGTTCCCGCCTGCTGCGCGGGCTTCGCCATCCGATCGATCCCCATCCTACGCCACGGTCCGAGGCTGGTGTCGCGAGGCATTTTGTCGTGTTGGCCTCAACCCGAATCTGCTCGGCACGCATTCCTTTCGCAAGTCTGCCGCCACCGTGGCTGTCGATGTTGGCGAGCCTGATCGCCTCTTCAAGGCCCTCGGCCGGTGGCGTAGCGACAAGGCTCGGGAGTTGTACGTCACCCAGTTGGACCGCGAGTTGGTGACGGCATCGCGTACCCTTCAGGATCCGACGAGACCTAGCTCTACCTACCGTTACGCATCCACTCTCGCACGCCATCGTCATCCTCCGCCTATTTGATGTCTCGTTTACCTATGACGACTGCACTGCACACTCCTCGGAGAGTCGTGTCACAATATGTAAAATTTTTAAAGTTAAACTTCTAAAAATTTGAAGATTGTGATTCGACTAGAAGAGGAGTTGGCTGTAAAGGAGACAAACTCCTTTTCATTCCCGCAGGTCTCTCAGACCTGCCACATAGTCTCATTTGCATTTTCAGATCTCCAATTTGCTTCCCTCCCACCCAATTCCCCTTTTTTTTTTAGTTACATAGAGTTTATGATACCCTATTTGAATACTCATTGTTATTGCTCATTTGAGTGTGCTGTACAAATGGGATTTGTAATGCTATGACGACTGCACTGCACACTCCTCGGAGAGTCGTGTCACAATCAGGGCATTTCAGAGATTTTTCAAAAGTTACCCTGAGGGCTCAGGGTGCCCAAAATCCTAGCACAGGCCCTGCACACGAGCAGTTGCCCGGCCAAAGGCCTTAGCTGCCAGCAGCATGTCGTCCTGTGAATGCCCTGCGGAGATGCACACTCGGATGCCCGCGGGCAAGGGGCTTATGTCCAGAGGAGAGCGCAGCGGAACACTCACCAGCACATCCTCCCCCTCCCGCATCTGAGAGTCGGCATGCACAGCACGATACACAGAAGCAGGAGGGAGGAAGGATAGCTTTTGTCAGGTGCAGTGCCCGGAAAGGGGAGACGGGCGCACTGTGCAAGTCAAGGGTGGAGTGCGGTAGGGCAGGAGGGTGGCGACAAACGACTGGTTGAAATTGAAACTCACCAGCTTGGGCTCCAGAGTAAGTCTCCATCCATGCAGAAGACTACTTATTCAACAAGAATAGAGTATCTTCATTTTTATTCCGTCCTAAACCCTAAACCCCAGCAGCCTAGCACACACCATCCCTGCACTCACCTCATCCACTATCCTCTGCAGCACTGCAGGCTCATCCTCCCCCTCCCGCACCGCACCCCCTGCGCCTGCTCCCTTGCGCACCCGCAGCAGCACCACAGGCGACACAGCATGACCATGCACCTCCAGATCAGGGCAGTGGGTTGCCATGCCTGCAGGATTGGGGAGGAGAGGTTGTGGGGAAGAAGTCATGCGATGTGGGAATGGGTATGAGCTATGTGGTATATGCATGCATCCCCATGGCATACGGGAGTGGTGCTTCTCATGTATCATCAAAGCAGGGGGGAGGGGTTCTGAAGCAACACTGTAAAAGCACACCCTCCTATGAGCTACACGCTCTCCTCTCAACCCAGGAACAAGCCGTCTTCTCCCCTCCTACTACCCCTCTCGCTGTTGCCTGAATTCTTCTCCCGTGTCTGCACGCACAGCGCCCAACACACAGCGCGGCCAAGCGCACGGCACCAACTGACCTTCTCGGAAGGCAGCGGCATTGGATGGAGTGCAGGAGGGAACGTGCGGTGGGGCGTGCCTCCATCTCATCCAACGCTGCCATGGCTGCTGACGCCAGGAACGCATGCACCACCCCAAGCGCACAGTGCCACAAAGCACACGGATCCATCAACTGACCTTCTCGGAAGGCGGCGGCATTGGAGTGCAGGAGGGAGCGTGCGGTGGGGCGTGCCTCCATCTCATCCAACGCTGCCATGGCTGCTGACGCCAGGAACGCATGCACCACCCCAAGCGCACAGCGCCACAAAGCACACGGATCCATCAACTGACCTTCTCGGAAGGCGGCGGCATTGGAGTGCAGGAGGGAGCGTGCGGTGGGGCGTGCCTCCATCTCATCCAACGCTGCCATGGCTGCTGACGCCAGGAACGCATGCACCACCCCAAGCGCACAGCGCCACAAAGCACATGGATCCATCAACTGACCTTCTCGGAAGGCGGCGGCATTGGAGTGCAGGAGGGAGCGTGCGGTGGGGCGTGCCTCCATCTCATCCAACGCTGCCATGGCTGCTGACGCCAGGAACGGCGGCAGTGACGCTGAGAAACAGTACCCCATGCCGCCCAGCCGCTGCAGGGGGGGTGTAAGGCACAAGCAGGTTGGAGAGGAAGCATAGGGCGCGGGAGCGTGAGTGGAGGAGGATGGAGCATGTGACATGGGGCAGGAGAGGAGGGGGATGGAGAGTACTGGGATGGGGATGGGATGGGGATGGGATTGGGATGTGAGATGGGAACGGTAGCAAGCAGGCATGGAAGCAAGAAGCACGCAGCAAGCAAGCACGAGCACAGGAAGCAGCAGGAGCGCGCACACACAGCACATGTCTCACCTGGTGGTCAACCACCTGGGCGCTACCACAACAAATCCCCCCAATGGAAGCAAGCGAAGTGCCCTTGGCAGCAGCGATTATGTCAATGCTGGTGACCGGCATGCCGTAGTGCTCCGAGATGCCCCGCCCCATGGCCCCCAGCATGCGCACACAGCACAGCACATGTCTCACCTGGTGGTCCACCACCTTGGCACTGCCGCAGCAGAACCCTCCGACCGAAGCAAGCGAGGTGCCCATGGCAGCAACGATAATGTCAATGCTGGTGACCGGCATGCCGTAGTGCTCCGAGATGCCCCGCCCCGTGGCGCCCAGCACGCCAAACGACAGGCTCTCCTCCACGATGATGCGGAACTTGTACTTCTCCTTCAGCCGCACCAGCTCTGGTAAGGGCAGCAGCTCCCCCGAGCACTGCGGTGGTGGGGTGGGGAGAGTGAGGACGTGGGGGGAGCGAATTTTGAGTCGACTCAGCAAACGAAAGGCTCTCCTCAACTACGATGCGGAACTTGTACTTCTCCTTCAGCCGCACCAGCTCCGGCAGGGGTAGCAGCAGCTCGCCCAAGTACTGGCATTAGTGGGAGAGAGCGGGTGTGGTGGGAGAGTTTTTTCGGTCAAATAGAAAAACGAGAGGCTCTCCTCTACGATAATGCGGAACTTGCACTTCTTCTTCAGCCACACCAGCTCCGGCACAGGTAGCAGCTCGCCCAAGCAGTGCCATGTGAAGCCAGTAAAAGAGAGAGGGCGTGTGGGGAGCGATTGTTGCCGCGGCGTGCTCGTGCTCGTGCTCTCCTTTCCCTCTCCCCCCAAACCTGTCTCCCTCCCCCACCACTCCCCCCTCACCTACCATACCCCGGCCCCCATCCAGCACCAGGTAGAGCGCTTCAAGAGCAATGAAGTGGCGGATGTCGGTCTTGTTGCTCTTGCTCTCCCTTTCCCTCTCCCCTTCTTCCCTCCGCCTCACTCTCTCCCTTCCCCCCGTCCCCTCCCCTCCCCCCCTTGTCACCTGGTAGAGGGCTTCAACAGCAATGAAGCGGCGGATGTCGGTCTTGTTGCTCTTGCGGTCGGCGGCGGCGTGGTGCTGCAGCAGCTGCTCCAGGTGGTTCATGTCGTTGTGGCGGAAGTAGCGCACCGTGCTGCGTGCCAACGTCATGCCGTTCTGCATCGCCCACCCCACGCCCTCGTCACTGCCACCACACACAACCGCACAGAAACGCACAGAACCGCAAGGGAGGGGAGAGCCCCGGGCGGGGGAAAAGAAGAGGGGAGGGGAGGGGAGGCGTAGGGAGAAGAGGACGGGGGAGGATGGAAGGTGGGGAGAGGAATGTAGGGTTGAGAGGCAGGGAGACAAGGAGGGGAGGGATGAGAACGAGGCAGCAGCTGCTCCAGGTGGTTCATGTCGTTGTGGCGGAAGTAGCGCACCGTGCTGCGTGCCAACGTCATGCCGTTCTGCATCGCCCACCCCACGCCCTCGTCACTGCCACCACACACAACCGCACAGAAACGCACAGAACCGCAAGGGAGGGGAGAGCCCCGGGCGGGGGAAAAGAAGAGGGGAGGGGAGGGGAGGCGTAGGGAGAAGAGGACGGGGGAGGATGGAAGGTGGGGAGAGGAATGTAGGGTTGAGAGGCAGGGAGACAAGGAGGGGAGGGATGAGAACGAGGCAGCAGCTGCTCCAGGTGGTTCATGTCGTTGTGGCGGAAGTAGCGCACCGTGCTGCGTGCCAACGTCATGCCGTTCTGCATCGCCCACCCCACGCCCTCGTCACTGCCGCCGCTCGCGGCATAAGACCGCACACAGTCGCAAGGGACGGGACAGACCAGGCGAAGGGGGTGGGAGAAGAGGATGAGGGAGGATGGAAGGTGTGGGGAGAGACAGGGGAGTGCGGGGGGAGGGATCGCTACCAGGCTGCGGAATATAATTGACCGATTTGATCTCATGATGTGCTGTTGTGACGTGAATAAGGAAGACGAGGCACAAAGAAGCAGAATCTAAAAGCAGGCGGAGGAGACAGGGGGAGAGGAGGAGAGGAGAGTGGAGGAGGGGGAAGGCGGTGGTGCAGTGCAGTGCACGCACGCGATGATGAGGTCCCCGCGCTTGCAGAAGGCGGGGATGGTGGAAGCGACGGTGGCGAGGCCATAGGAGTAGAGGATACACCCCTCCACACCCATGAACGCCGCTATGCGCTCCTCCAGATCCAGATGCACGTCTGCCATCGCCACACCCCGCCATGCCCACCCAGGGAGAGGAGAGACGGGGGGAACAGAGGAAGGGGACGGGGGGGATGGGGGAAGTGGAGACGTGGGGAAGGTGGTAAGAAGGGAAAGAGGGACGGGGGAAAGGGGGAGGGGGTGAAGAGGGGGGATGGAGGAAGAGGAGACGTGGGGAGAGAGAAGTGAGCAGCGGAGTGAGTGGGGCGATGGCCAGAAGCAGGAGGTATTGGTGAGCAGCAGATTGCAGGGACTGGAACGTGGTGAGAGGTGCTGGTGGCGAGTTGGGCAGATTGGGGTGGGGGCTGACAGGCATTCTTCTTGTAAGAGTCTTGTGGTCTCAACCCAGCGGAAGGCACAGAGTGGACGGGACGGGACACATTCACACAGCATGTCCACGTGGCACTCAAAGCATACCTATCGTGCCGTAGAAACCACGCGGGCCACAAGAGCCCACCCCGTACTTGTGCAGCGCTGCTGTGGCCGCCTCCTGGCCGATGCATGCCAGGCAGAGTGTCAGGGGATGGGAGGGGGAAGGCGTTGCAGTGAGATACGAAACGGGTGGCGGGAGGAGAGGGCATGTGGCGCAAATGGCACATGGCAAGAAGCACATGGCACATGACAAATGGCACATGACGCATGCTACTCATCTAGAATCATCACGGCACAGCACAGCACAGCACGCTGACCTGCACATGCGTGTTGCCTATGAGCCCCAGGAAGTTCATGGACGCCAGATTCAGCATCTTGCGCCCGTCCGCCACCGTCCATGGCTCTCCCGCCCTACGCCGCGCCAGGGAGGGCGCAACGGGTTGTGGTGGTCACAGGGTAGGGGGCAGGAGAGGCGTGAGAAACGTACTGAAGCACGAATGAGAGGTGGAGTAGGACTAAATGATTACTCACAGCACAGCACCACCACATGTAGCCCCCATTGCTACCTGCCCCATCCCATTCACCAGCTCCACTAGTCAGCAATTCGAAACTAGGCAACTTCCCTTCCAGGGCCAGGACTCCCCACTTGACTCACTTGTCGAGCACGGGCACGTGGCGGGCGAGGGCTTGAGGGGGAGCGGGCGGGTGCAGCGGCTCAGGTACCCACTCCTCACACAGGTGGTCGATCTCCTGCTCGCCCACAACAGCGCACACAGGATGCAGTGCAGAGGGGTGGAGTGCAAAGGGGTGGAGTGCAGAGGGGTGGAGTGCAAGGGGTGGAGTGCAGAGGGGTGGGGTGCAGAGTGTTAGAGTGCAGAGGGGTGCAGTGCAGAGGAGTGCAGCGCAGAGGAGTGGTGTGCAGACAGGTGGAGTGCAAAGGGGTGGAGTGCAGAGGGGTGGGGTGCAGACGGGTGGAGTGCAGACGGGTGGAGTGCAGACGGGTGGAGTGCAGACAGGTGGAGTGCAGAGGGGTGAAGTGCAGACGGGTGGAGTGCAGACGGGTGGAGTGCAGACAGGCGGAGCACACGTCAGGGAATGCAAGACTAAACGAAAAAGCAGGCTGCAACAGGAAAGGACAAGGAGGAGGGGCGGCTGGAGATGATGCAATGATGCACACAGGACGTGAAGGAAAGTTCAGGTGTGAGCGGAGGAGTGGAGAAAGAGGGTAGAAGGTAGAGGCGAGGGAAGTAGGGTGGCTGGCTGACCGTTTCAGTGAGCGATCGCTTGTCTGGTTTGTAACTCTTCTGCGACATGAGGACGATGATGGCCACCAGCAGAATGGTCTCCAGGATCAAATGGCCTGTCGCGCACAGCCAGATCGCGCGCATGCACACCGCACAGCACCGCACAGCACAGCACAGCACAGCACAGCACAGCACAACACATCACCGAGATTTGCAGCACAGAACAGCCCAACCAGACGGATGGAAGAGCACAAGCCGTGCGAAACATACACGCAATTACAGAGGCACGCGATCAGAGAAGCACGCAAGAAGGAAAGGTGGCCATCAGGTTAGCAATTGAACAAGCGGAGTGACGAGAGGCAAGGGGATGCGATGCGACGCAGAGGACGACGGATGTGAGGAGCGTGACAGGAACGCAATGCCAGTCTGCCAGGCATCATGCAATCACGCCAGGCGCATCATGCAATCACGCCAGGCGCAACAGGCAATCACGCCAGGCGCATCATGCAATCACGCCAGGCGCAACAGGCAATCACGCCAGGCGCATCATGCAATCACGCCAGGCGCATCATGCAATCACGCCAGGCGCATCATGCAATCACGCCAGGCGCATCATGCAATCACGCCAGGCGCAACAGGCAATCACGCCAGGCGCATCATGCAATCACGCCAGGCGCATCATGCAATCACGCCAGGCGCATCATGCAATCACGCCAGGCGCGTGGATCTGACGCGTGCGCTGGCTGTAAGTTCGGAACCACCGATCCGGAGGGGACAGGATCGGGAGGGGACAGGTTCGGGAGGGACATGTTCGGGAGGGGACAGGTTCGGGAAGGGACAGGTTCGGGAGGGGAGAGGATTGGGGATGCGCGTACCGTCAACGGTTAAGTCGAGGAAATTGACTCGAAAGAAGGGGACCTGCAGGTACGTGCTGATGATATCCAGAAGGCGCACCGCCATGCCTGCCACCGCGTCGTACAGCCCCATGGCCGCTCGACGCTGCGCGAATGCGAGATTATATAAGAGCAACGACGGCGCGCACAATTCTGACCGTGACGGTAATGTCGCCCGTGGCTTTTGCAATTCGACCTGACGCGCGTGGACTAGCGGGACTCAAGATGAGGTGCCTGGGTTGGCGAATCTAAGGCGGCTTCACACGGATTCGGCCTAAACGCTCCGGAGCTGCCTCTGACTCAAAAGGAACCACGCACAACACGGCTATAACGTTCGCGACGGCAGCGGCAGCGGCAACGGCGACGGCGACGGAAGTGGCATTGACTCAACTACGGAAAATGCTTCCTTGCTGCTGCTCGCGCGGACCAACGGCAGGTATAGCTGCGATTCGCAGCTTCAGCTTTTGCCTTGGCTAAGCGACCGACGAATCCTACATGCGAGCTCGTGGTGTGTTGATCACATGACGTGGAGTTATGGCCGTTGGCTGGCCGTGGCGGCGTGGTATGAAAGCGAGAATCAGCTGCTGGCTGGATAAGCGAACAGGGACCGTGGGATTCAATCCAAGATCGGGGGGGAAACACGCCAGTGAAGGCTGGGGCAGTGTAGTGTTGGCAGGGTTGTCTCAGAAATATCGAGGTTCGGTTGGGTTTGGAGGTTAGGCGGAGCATGATGAGAGAACATCGAGGGAGCTGAAGAGTGGACTGTGGGGACCAGCTCCCTCGACAGAGTCACATCGGCTGCCTTCTGATTGGATCTACCGGCACTACACACGCCTAATGAATTTTGACCTGTCAACTAAACTAAACCTGACAGGAAATTTATTATTTATCTGTAGCTGGAAGAACGACCCTGGTTTGTGACCCAAATTCTATTGCTTATAGCGGATACACCGAAAGAATATTCCCGCTAGTGCGTGCCCCATCTTCGTCGTACAAATCTGTCGGTCCGCTCCCCAAGCTCTAGGATGCATGCAACGTGCAGAGCTACAGCTACTCCCCACACACCTTAGTGCGCAGCTTTTGCGCACTATCCATGGCACCTCCTCTTTTATAACTGCGCTTTGTTACACTCTCTCGAAGCCGCGACTTGCTAGCTCTGGAATTTCCTGTCGGACCTCCGCTTCCTTGGCCAATTGGTCTAGTTTCCGCTAGTAGAGCAGAAGCACGCTCGGTGAAGTTGGTTCCATGAATCGGAATCGCATGGCCTGCCTGGCAAGAGAGGCGTCACCTTCTTCTTGATTCCGTTTCTTTTTTTCCTAGCTCCGATCTGACAGCGTGCGCCACCACTCGCGATCGACCAATCCGACCGGCGGAACGGCTCAGATCAACCGTGATATGATAGCTTCCGACGCGACGTGCAGTCGGTACATCAGACTTGCAGCAACTCCCCTCCAGTGGCGTCTTTTGACCGATAGTGACCTTTAAAGTTCGGGGCCGATCGCGATGCAATAACGGCCACGTAAGGATTAGCATCAAGGCGTTATTGTGTCCCAAGGACAGAAATAGGCTGAGTTTCATCCTGAATTGCGGAAGGACCTGCCGAATCACCACCTACTGGATAGTCACACAGAGCCTGCTCCGTTCTTGTCATACCCTAACCATTTTCCATAATAGAATCTATCAGCGGATCGCGCGCAGCGTCATACCTGGCCGGTTCCACGCGTCAATCCTTAGACGGCGGTGCGTGTGGCCCGCGCTCGTCCCTTCACCCACGCTCCCGTTCTAAATTCCATCACTGCGAGTCCTCTTACGCTCGCCTCCGTCTCCATCCTCCCCACCATGATCACCGCCTTCAACCAAACCCTAATCTTATCCCCATAGTCCGCTCTCACCGCCCGACGCACGCTCCACCATGCGCGGAGGACTCCCCATCAAGAACACGCCCAGCAAGCAGCGCAAGCCCATTCTCCCCAACCACTCCCCGCGGAAGCCGGCACGATCCACCGCCTTTGGTGCCGGCGGGGGGGGCGGCGGCGGCGGATGGCGCGGAATTTTCAGCATGCGGCGAGTTATGACGGTGTTTCTGGTGGGCGGCGGGTTGGCGTGTTTCACGTCGGTGATTTGCCTCATGCGCCTCCTGTACAGCGTCGATGCGCCCATGGACCCGTCGCAGCTGCTCGACGCGGCGGCGGCGGCGGGGACCGCGGGCGGGGGAGACTCGTCCGCGGATCTGCTGCTGGAGAACGCCGCGCGGCAGCAGCTGCCGTCGCTGTCCATCCGCGCGCTGCACGTGCTGCAGCAAGCGCGCTCGCTTGCCATGGTCACTGGATTCGGGGAGGTGTGTCTGAGGGCCAAACGAGCGTGCATGAAAGAGGGTTTTGTTGGAAGCTGCAGGCGTAGCCCTTCCTGCCCCCTCTCCCCTCTCCTCACATTTCCCTCGCCTTCTTTCTCATTCTCCTCTTCCCCTATCTTTCCCCGTGATTTCGAGAATTTGTGTGAGTTCGCTCATTCACTTGGGTCTCCTTCACACAACCTCACGCTCCAATTGGGAGATAAATAACAACTCGTTTGCACAACACCACCACAAAAAAAACCACCTTTCTCCCCACCCTCCTCCCATCCCCTCTCCCCACTCACCCCCGCCCCTTTCCCGCTGCGCCGCTCACCCGTGTGTGGCTCTGGCACAAGCAGGCGCAGCCGCAACAGGACAAAGTGGTGCCGCCATGCATCCACGTGGACACTGACCTGTTCCCCGCCGCCACCTACCTGCTGCCTCTCGACCGTTCTATACTCCTCCGCCCACCTCCATCCTCCTCCACTCCGGATGCTGCAGAACTTTCCCCTTCTTCGTCCTCTTCTTCCGCCTCCTCAGCAGCTGCGCGCCAATTTCCCCGCTCCCAGCGCATCCGCTCCGACTCACCTGTCCCCGGTTCCCCTATTTCTTCCGCCTCCGCCTCCGCCGGCTCTGCGGGGAACGACTCGCGGGAGTTCACGCTGCTGTGGCGGGGGGCGCATGGGCTGGTGTGCCGGCGGTGGGCCACAGACGTGCGCGCGCGGATACAGGAGGTGGCGGAGATGCGGGGCACTGGCGGAAGCGGCGCAGTCTACGTGTCTGTGCTGCTGCAGATGGGGGAGGGACTGAGAGCAGGACTGGGGGCGGGAGTGGGAGCGGGGTTGGGAGCGGGTGGGGGCATTGGCGGCAATGGGACTGCTGATGCGGGCGAGGGGCAGCGAAGAGAAGGGGAAGGGCAAGAAAGCGTGAAGCGAGAGGGGGTAGAAGGTGGCAACAGAAGAGAGGAGTGGAAGACGGGGGCAGGAGCAGCGGCGGGAGCAGCAGCAGGAGCGAGACAGGGGGAGGGAGTTGCAGCTGGAGGAGTAGGGGGAGCAGGAGCAGGGGGGGGAGTAGACGAGGCGCCAAGAGAGGGATGGCGGAAGGATTCAGGGGCAATTGAGCGGGGCTTGGTGGAGACTCAGCGCGTGGTGGTGTCTCTGGCGCTGTGGGGGGACGGGCAGGGGGTAAGGGGAAGTGAAGAGAGCGCGCGGGTGGGGGGCTTGCAGCAGGAGAAGGGAGGTTCTGGGAGGTTCTATACAGGGGAGGGAGGGGAGGCAGGGGAGGAGATGGTGCGGGTGGGAGCAGTGGGGCAGAGCATTACGAGGCAACGCGATGTGGGGCCGCTGGTGGCGCTGGTGAGTGAGTGAGTGAGTGTGTGAGTGAGTGAATGGGGGAGAGAGAGTGTGAGAATGGGCGCGCATGGGAGCGTGGGATCTTGGGTGCATGGGAGCATGGGAGAATCGGATTTCAACATTATAGACTGTAAGCGGCACTCCCTATTCTTGCAGGCTCTTGCAAGTAACCATGCATATGGCACCTGTATTGTGTTCCAACCCCCAGTGCAGCATGCCCCGGGCGTCTTGTCAACTCTGTCTCTCGTTTCCTTCCACCACACCCCACCCCTCTGCACTGCCCCGCACCAGGTGCCTCCATCAACCCGGTATCTCTCTGTAGACCTCTGCGCACCTCCGTCCTTCCCTATTCTTGGCGACCTGCCCCCTGTCGCAGCAACAGCAGTAGCAGCAGAAACAGCAGAAACTGCTGCCGCTCTTGCTGCTGCCACGGGCGGTGCTGCCAGTGCCAGCAGCGGCGGTGCTGCTGAGGATGGAGCAGGGAAGGGGCCTCGTGTGGCAGTGGCGGCAGGGGGCGTGGCTGTGAAGCTGTCTCTCATGTACCCCACTCATTCCTCGCTCCTGGGTCAAGTCTCGCCTGCTGTGCCCACCAGCAGGGATCAAGGTAGGAACTGTTTGAGTTGACTCAATGGCGGCAGGGGGCGTGGCTGTAAGGCTGTCTCTCATGTACCCCACTCATGCCTCGCTCCTGGGTCAAGTCTCGCCTGCTGTGCCCACCAGCAGGGATCAAGGTAGGAACTGTTTGAGTTGACTCAATGGCGGCAAGGGGCGTGGCTGTAAGGCTGTCTCTCATGTACCCCACTCATGCCTCGCTCCTGGGTCAAAGCTCGCTTTCTGTGCGCAGCAGCAGGGATCAAGGTAGGAGCTTTGGAGATCCAAGGCCACACATGCTTCCTCACTCCCCTCTTGCATCTCCCCTCTCCCTCTCTCATCTTCACTCTCCCATCTCCTGTCTTCTTTTTCCCCTCTCCCCTCTCCCCTCTCCCCTCTCCCCTCTCCCCTCTCCCCTCTCCCCTCTCCCCTCTCCCCTCTCCACTCTCCCTTCACTTTTTCCTCTTTTCACACCCCTCTCCCCTCTCCCTTCCTCTTTCCGATATCCCCTCTTCTCTCTTGCCTCTGCCTTCACCTCTGCTGTCTGCCTTCTGGTCCCTGCTTCCCACGTAACTGAAGCAACAAGGATCTCTGCGTGTTTGTCACGGAAACAAAATACACTTTTGCAACCTCATCCTTTTGTCATAATTGTAAGCGTAGAGACGTCTAAAAAAAATCTCCATCAGGTTTTATCGCACTTCCATGACATTTCCATGACACTTCCATGACACTTCCATGACACCTTCCTTACCTCTCCACTTTCCCCTCCCGTTCTCCCCCTCCCCTTTCCGTGTATAGGTAACTCCTCTAATTTCAAGAACTCTACAGCAGCAACATCAACAGAAGCAGCAGCAGCAGCAGCAGCAGCAGCAGCAGCAGCAGCAGCAGCAGCAGCAGCATCGACCCCTGTTGTGCCAACATGTTTGATACGGGCAGGTCCACGGTTGTTTTACACTGCCCGAGAGCCGAAAGGGGAGGAGAGGGAGGAGATCTGGGGCAACATCTCCGTGCCCCTTGCCTCTTCTCACCCCTCCTCCTCCTCCTCCTCCTCCTCCTCCTCCTCCTCCTCCTCCTCCTCCTCCTCCTCCTCCTCCTCCTCCTCCTCCTCCTCCTCCTCCTCCTCCTCCTCCTCATCCTCGTCCTCATCCGCTCCTGCTGCATCGGCCGGGCAAGGCCACGCGTTTGGGGTGGCACAGTTGTCAGTGCAGTGGGACAGCAACTGCAACGTGGTGCACCACAGCGTGGTCATGTGCAGGTGCGTGCTACACACACTCACACACTCCACCGCTACAACCGCCGCCGCCACCACCACCACAACCGCCGCCACCACCATTACCACTACCATTCCTTTTTGTTTTCCTTTATAGGCGCCTTATTCCTGAAATGAATATGAATCTCCTTTGCGAAGCGCCTAAAAAATCGGTGCAGCGGGAGAGACAGCAACTGGAACCTGGTGCAGGTGCACAGCATGTGCTTGCCCCAGGCCCCACCTCCTGCACGACTTGGGCATAGCACAGGGCGAGGGGGGGGGGGGTTCAGGGGTTAGAGGGAAAAGGGGATGAGGGGTAAGAAGGGGTTGAGCGTTGGTCACGGCGGGGTTGGGGTTGGGGTTGGGGTTGGGGTTGGGGTTGGGGTGAGGTATCGCGGCGCTAGAAGATAGCTATGTGACTTTTGAGTCGATTCAAAAGGGCGCTAGCAGATCGCTATGACCCTCCAGACTCATCCCTCTTCCCCCCCGTTCCTCCCCTGTTTTCCGCACTTTGCTTGCCGTGTCCCACGATTCCACCTCCCACTCCCTCACTGCGGCACGTGCTCTCTACGTCCCCCCTTTCCAGAGTGCGGCAGAAGCATCGAGTCATGAAGGCAGGTGCAACCTCCCCTGCGTGTGCCATTCTCCAAGATGCCTGCTCGGCCGCACAGGGCCAGCACAAGCAGCTGCAGCAGCAGCAGCAGCAGCATGTGGGCGGAAAGGCGGGTTGGGGCAGTGAGCCGCTTGGGAGAAGAGCAGCTGGCTATGTCTCTGCCTCTGACGCGGGTACTGGTAGCGGCAGTGCGGGTAATGCGTCGGTAGCACCAGGAGGGGGAGGGGGAGAGGGAGGGGGAGGAGCAGGGGCAGGAGGTGGGGGTGGGGGAACAAAAATGGGCGCTGGTGGTGTGGGGAGGGAGCAAGAAGCTGGGGCAAGCAGAGAGGGTTGGGGAAATGAGTGGGGCGGGAGGTGGGGAGGTAGAGAGGGTGGGGGTGTGGAAGGAGCAGTGAGTCATGGCAGCTGGATGGTACCAGCTACTAGCTCTGTGCAGGTCAGTGGGAAACTCTTGCCTCTGCCTCCTTGCCTGCTCTTCCTGCCTTCTCTTCCTGCTCTTCCTGCCTTCTCTTCCTGCTCTTCCTGCCCTCTCTTCCTGCTCTTCCTGCCTTCTCTTCCTGCTCTTCCTGCCCTCTCTTCCTGCTCTTCCTGCCCTCTCTTCCTGCTCTTCCTGCCTGCCCGCTCTGCATATGTTGAAATCCGCTGGTGATTTTAATTCCGACCTTGTCCCATCCCCGTTTCCCCCCATTTCCTTTCTTGACTCATCCACCTTCCTCATCCTCCGCTCCTCTCTCTTTTTCTCTTTCTCCTTCGTGATCACACTCTCACCTGTCCAGGTGTCATCATCCCATTGGGTGCACACGGCGCAATTACCTGCCTCGATCCCCACCGGTCATTACAACTACCGTGTGCTTTCCGGGTCGCAGTGCTCCCCCGTCTTCTCCTTCCACTTCCTCGGCCCGACGCCCTACGCCGCCCTTGCCGCCCACCGCTCCGCCGCCCTCTCCAACCGCTCAGGCGGCCACCGCGTGTCCTGGTTCGAGCGGCACAACAAGAGGCGGCATTATCTGAAGACCCGGGCGGCCATGCTGAGAAAATCAGCAGGGCTGAAGGACCATGGGGGGGGAGGGTCGCCCAAGTTTGAGTCTCGAGTGGGGAAGAAGGGCATGTGGGGGCGCAAGGCGCATGAGAGGCCACCTATGGGTGTGTCGCTTGGCCTGGGCAAGACCGGGGAGAGTGCAGGTGGGGATGCAGGGTCGGGATCGGGAACAGGTGGCGGTGCGGGTGGGGCAGCAGGGGATACAGGAGGAACAGGGGCAGGCACAGGAGCAGCGGCAGGAGGAGGAGGAGGAGCAGGGGCAGGGGCAGCAGCGGAGGAGGACGAAGGGGAGGGGTATGAGGACGATAACAACGTAGACGACGAGTTTTTTCATCTGGTAATCATATCAGACACGCAGGGGGGCAGCTCTGTGTTCCGGCGCCACCTGACGCACATCCGAGCGCATAAACCCTCCGCAGACCTGATCCTACACCTGGGCGATCGGGTCCCTGGAGCCTCTGCTGCTGCTGCTGAGGCTGCAGCTGCGGCAGCGGCGGCGGGTGGTGGTGGTGGTGGTGGCAGTGGTGCTGCTGGTGGTGGTGCGAGTGGTGGTGGGGGAGAGGGCGCTGCCGTGCTGCAGTGGCAGCGCATGTGGACACAACCACTGGAAGCGAGCCATGTGGCGGCGTCGATTCCTTCCCTGGGCGTGCATGGGGATCTCGATGTGGCTGTGGGGCATGCAAGTGGGTCAGGTGCAGGAGCAGCAGCAGCAGCACATGGGGGAGGTTGGGTGGGGGGCCGTGGCAGCGGCAGTAGCAGTGGTAGGGCCAGCAGCGGCAGTGGCAGAAGCAATGGCAGCAGCAGCGAGAGTGGTGTTGATGCGCTGATCGATGCCCATCAGCTTGCGGATCTGTTTGCCCCTCTTCCTTCCTCCTCTCCACTCCTCTCACCCACGTCAACCTCCTCTCCTCCTCCTTCCCTATGGTCTCTTCCCTCTGCCTCCACCACACAGCATACCACCGCCACCACCGCCACCGCCACCGCCACCGCCACCGCCACCGCCACCACCACCACCACTCACTCAACTGCCATGCCTACCAGTGGAGATGTGCGGTGGTGGTCCATGCTGCTAGGCGAATGCCTGTGGATAGGCCTTGATTCCAACGTGAATGCTTCTTCCATTGCTGTACAGACAGCATGGCTGCGCGCCACGCTAGAGGCGGTGGCAGCAGCGAGGGAGTGCAGAGTAGCACCACCGTTTGTGGCCGTCCTGCTGCACGTCCCTCCGTTTATTGACTACTGGGATGCTGCATCATGGCACGGGAGCCATAGTGGTGGTGGTAGTGGGGGGGGTGCGGGTGGTGGTGGGCCGGGAAGTGGTTTTGGAGGGAGTGGTGGTGGGGAGGGGAGTGGAGAGGATGGGGGTGGAGGGGAGCGGAGGCGGACGGAGTGGGTGAGGCTGGAGTGGGTTCCTCTGTTTGAGAAGTATCGTGTGGATCTGGTGGTTAGTGGGCACTCACACGCGTACCAAAGGGGCGAGAGGAACGGGGTCATGTACGCCATCTTGGGGGGAGGTGGGGAGCGCATTGACAAGCACCGAGTTGCCGACTGGGGGATGTATAAGGTGAGCGCCGCTCTTTTGCTTCGTTGTGGTTTTTGTCAGCTGATGCAGAGCTGACAACTGTTGCTGATATTTTTCTGTGTGTGTCCCGTGTGTCTTTTTTTTTAGTGTATGTTGGGCCAGAGCAGAGCTGGATGTGTCCGGTTAGTATGAGGCGTTTATTTATGATGTCCGCATCCTCTTTCTTTCCTTCCAAATCTCAGGTAACGCACTTGGGGCACCACTATGTAAGGGTGGATTTGAGTGCCCATTTGTTGTCGTGGTCAGCATATGATGCAGCCAACAACCCCATAGACCATGTCTTGTTTGTGCCTGACGTAGATGACGCAGATGAAGAGGAGGGTAGTCAGACCCTGCGGTAACCAGCTGACATTGTGAGACCAACGAGATACTAAATTTAAATATAGCTTTAACGAGGTGAAGGCTAAAATTACCATGTTGTTGAGTAGAAATGATACCGGGTCAACCTTGCAACGCTTCATCGGTTGTGTTGTGCGAACGAGGCGCGCAAGTATGGTACTGTATTCTCGGGTTCTTCCTTACAGTATTAGTCACAGCAGCGATTCCTGGTCCAGGTCAGATTCTTCTCGGGACCTCAGGTTTGGGCTTTCGACAGCTCATATCCCAGGCAGCTTATCCATTGGTAGACCTCATTCGTTGCTGGGTGGAATCATTGTGGTCGCTGAACCTGGCGACCTTTTCCCTGTCTGACAACGTCCGCAACACGTGGATAGCTGTGGGTGACGCGGAGTAAAGTGCTGCGTCATCCCTAGTCAGGCTGAGATCCGTCCACGACTGCGCGCACTTTCGAGGCCTGTTAGCCCTTCTCCCGCCCATTCCCAACTGGGGAACGGTGCGGCTAGGAATATTCTTTGTCGGGGGAGCTCGTTTGCGCTTTGGGCAGATACCTGTGGCAAACAATGCTTGCGCAAGGGTGCCCAAAGAAAAGCAACAGTTTGGCTGGGCTGCGCTACAACAGAAACCTCCCCCGACAGTCCAAGAGTCCGACTCATCAGGGGTCGTGCTGTACTTCTCCGCGAAGGCTCAAAGAAACACCTCGGATGAGGGGAGGCACCAGCGCGTGATTGGTTTGGGGGCTGAGGCGGTTCCCTTGAACGGCAGTGGCTACCAGTGGCCTTCTTCTGCTCTTTTCTTCGTTGAAACGTTTTCTCGGTTCATGTGATTTGTTAATCGTGTAAAGCCACCCTTAAATGGTCAACGGCATACAGTAATAACTCTGGTTTATGGGAAAAAAATTCGGATAAAACCCGACACAGTTCAACTCACGTGCCTGCCTGACCCCAGCGCAGCGCATACACTCTTTGCGCGCGCTCCTCCAAGCATTTCCCCCTGTGCAGCATGGCGCAATCGCTGAAACTGGCGGAGAGCGCGCCGCCCTTACGGACAACCCCACCAACCAAGCGAGAAACCAGCAAGCAACAGCCAGGTGACTCGACTGAAGGAGAGTCAGCGTCAGCGACTGGAGCACAGACAAGGTTACGTCAAGTGCGAGGCAAGTGAGTCACGTGACATGTGAGGTTACTAAGTTGATCGTGCTTTGCAATCAGGAGCTCTTATCCTTGGTTCATTTCGTAGGGACCTCGCCTATTTTCCCACCCTGCTCGCCACGGCACAACGCCATTGGCGGTCTTGATGATTCTAGATATAGCCATCATACCTCCCAATATGGCTGCTGGTTTGGTCTTACCCTCCTGACACGACCGCTCCTACCATAAGCAATTGCCATCGTTGCCACCGCCGTTTGCCGCGATGGGGAACTCCTGCTCGTCAGCCTCCCCTGTATGGGCTACCGACGACAACCTTGGGATTGACGCGTCGCGGACCAGATACTCGCACCACCGCGTCACACGCTTCGCGCAGCTCCATGGCAAGACTGCGGATCGCCGGGCTAAGAAAGCCGACACCGAAGCTCCCAATACCGCGGAAGCGGGTCACGGTTCTGATGCGTCGGGTGCGGCTGATGTGGCGGGAAAGGACCGAAATGTGAAGGCTAGGTCTCACAGTAAACCTCGCAAGATTGAGCAGAAGCTGTTTATGAGGGGTGCGTATGCGAAGATGGCCGATGCGGCGAAACCCACGGAAGCGGAAGGCTCGTTGGAGGCGAAATACCACGTGGGGAAGTTGCTGGGATCAGGGAAGCACGGCGCTGTGCGTGTTTGCTGGCCGAGGGAGAAGTTCTTCAAAGAGCAACCCGAGCAATCCGTTTCCTTTTCCTCGCCGCTTCCGTGCTCGTCGGAGTCTCCCTTATCCTTTGCATCCTCTCCCTCGTCGCCTTTCGGATTTGAGTCATTGTCGGCTGGCCTCAGCAGTGGCGTTTCCTCTCCGTCGCCAGCATCGTCGCCGTCGCCGTCGCAGGGGTTGATCGCTGGTGGTCTCGCGACTGTCGCGAAACGATTCGCATGCAAGTCGATCCCAAAAGACGACCTGCCACGACTCGTAACGACCGGCAGCAGCAGCAGCAACGGCAGCAGCAGCACGGATAACAGCAGAAGCATCAGCCGAGGCAGCGGCAACAGCAGCCGCAGCAGCGAGGGAGGTGGAGTCCCCTCAAACCTGGATCGATCCGCGACGGCAAAAAAAGAGGTACAATACGAACATTTCTTTTCTAAGGCCTTGTCTGTACAACATCCATGTTGCACCTCCCCTTCTTTTCTTCATGTCCGACGGACTCACATCATCTGCTCTCCGCGTGTTTGTGCGGTTCGGTTCGGTGCGGTGCGGTGCGGTGCAGGTGGATGTGCTGACGCGGATGCAGGGACATCCGAGCGTGGTGCGGCTGTACGACGTGGTGGACGACGCGCAGTACACGCACATCGTCATGCAGCTCTGCCAGGGGCCCAGCCTCAAGGACCGCATCGCGCAGCAGGTATGTGTGCGTCTCGCGCGTTCCATGTCTTTGAGCCTTCGTTCCAGTGAAGGATCACAGAGCTTTTTAATGGCGTTCGATCAACGGATAAGAAATGCTTCCATGCGCTTTGATGCCTCGAGCGAGGCGAAGAACCAACTGGCTTTCTACGATTCACATTTCACATTTGACTTTTGACAAATAACGCAATCACTAAACTTTCTCCTCGCCTCCTTGTCTCAGGGCGCCATGAGCGAGCGGGAGGCGGCGCGGGTGATGCGATCGGTGGTGAGCGTGCTGGCGTACTGCCACGACCGCGGCATCGTGCATCGCGATGTCAAGGTCAGTGCTACCAACACCGCTTCCTGTAGGCTTGCACGGAGTCGCAGGCGTCGCTGGGGTCGCATGTGTCGCAGGGGTCGCAGGGGTCCCAGGGGTTACACTTGGGCTCGAATTGGTTATGGTCTGGGGAAGCTGATGGTGATCTGTTATGGCTAATGCTTATGCCAATGCCCTTCAGTTGCCCCTGCACTTGGCTCACTCACTGCAACAAACCTTCTGTTTCTCTCTCCCTGTTGCGTCTGCTGCCGGTTGTGTTGTGCGTGCAGGATTGCAACTTCATCTTTCTCTCCAGTGACCCTGCGTCTCCCCTCGTCGCCATCGACTTCGGACTCGCCACCTTCTATTCGCCAGGTACTGCCCTTTCCACTCTTAAAGTGATCGGAATGAAAGCAGTTTCAAGTTCCAACCCTTCTGCGCGCTTCATATCTGGCTGGGCCCTATCCGCCGGGGAGAAACTCTTGGTGCAACAGATGCTCCGCAGTGTATCCTGCTCTTAAACCTCTCCCACATCTCATCACTTCCTCCAACCTGCATCGTCGTCTCCTTGCTGTGTCTCCCCCCTCTCCTCCCCCCTTCAATGATCCGCTTCCAGACAAGCGGTTGCACGAGGTGGCAGGAAGTCCGTGCTTTGTGGCGCCTGAGGTGCTGAGGGTGCGCGGAGGAGGAGGGTACGGGCCCGAGGCGGACGTGTGGAGTGCGGGCGTGCTGCTGCACCTGCTGCTCGCTGGCAGAGTGCCCTTCGATGGAGGTGAGCAGGAGCACATTTGCATGCCAGGAATATGTACTTTCCACTGTTCCTGTGCCCCCTCGTATGCCAGAGTAACCAGCAGCACCCGCTGTGTCCCCTCACTCACCATCCTAAACCTTCTCATCCCCCCCTCCCCAACCCCGTGATGACATGGCAGTTACGATCATGGATGTGTTTAGGGCTGTGGCATCTGCTCCTCTGGACCTGGCGTCTCCCCCTCTGCAGTCGCTGTCACCAGAGGCCAAGGATCTACTCACGCTCATGCTCTGCCGTGATGTCAGCAAGCGGCCCTCGGCGCACGACATCCTCCGTGCGTACCCGCTACTTTCCTTGCATCTGTTGCAATGCTTCCTCTCGCCACATTGCAACGTCTGCTTTTTTTTTTGCATCCCTTGCAGCATTTGGTTTGCTGAGGTCCTTCCTTTGGCATGGCATGGCTCTGCTGCTTATTGTCCTTTTTCTTATTCCTGTTTCTTTGTTCCGTTTTTTCCACGTCGCATTTTGATCGCAACTCCAGGTCACCCATGGATGGTGCAAGACTTAGATGTGCAAGACTCAGATTAACGACATTGCTGATGTGACTTCAACTCCTGCATCATCAACACTTTCCGGTTGCCTTCATTCGCGCATCGAGGGCAGTGGTAGTCACTCTCGCTTTTCCTTAGGGTTCCTGCTGCCTTTTTTTTCCCGTGGGGCTTTGGAGCGCTACTTTCACTTCATGAAGCATCCAGCAGGGCAGCACCTTGGTGCTCGCCCTTCGGTGCTCGGCCTTGGTGGATGCATGCATCAGCTTTCCCATCTTCCTAGCCACAGTCCACATCTTCAGCTCGTCCCCCTCCTGCTGCCGCTATTGCCAGTGCTGCTACTTAAGCGGTCCATGTTTGCATCTCTGGTGCTACCCATGCGAGCTGCTGGAGCTTTTCTGTGTTGGTTTCCATCTAGGGTTAACCCTCAGATGATTCCGAGGCACACCAATCAGCCAAGCTGATGAATTCTTTGGATTGATTGCTCTCTTTTCCTGCAGTTGCCTGGCAAGCAATGTATATAGCCATGTATTGTATTATTCTTTGTTTTCAGTGTGAGCAATTCAACGTTATTTCTATGAGGGAGCATGATCTGTATGTTTTCTGGAGGGAAGGATTAGGTCTACAAAAGCACAGATAATCTAGTTCTTACAAGTCATGTCGTCACACAAGCGTTGTAACTGTAAGGATTTACAAATCCTTACTGAGGCACTCGTTAGCGAGGCCATCCCGAGGGTCACGCGACGATCCTGTTGGGCCTATTTCGTCGCACCGAACCACCTCCGAGTCGGCCTCCGCTCCAATCGCAACCATCACCGAGCCATCCCATCCCGAACCCCCCGCCTAGCTAGCTTTTCCCCTATTTAGGCCTCGCTACTTCATTGTTTCTTCATTCAGTCATTCTGTAATCCTCATTCTCGTTATTCGATATTCTGCGCACTCTGCAAGTTCATTCATAACACCTGGTATCAGAGCTACTTTCCTAGCTCACCCCGCTTTTTAGAGTGTAATACCCCTTGGGGGGGGGGACGAGGAAGGATGTCTTGGGGTCCAGGAGTTGCGTAGGCCGGCCAGGAGAACTAGTTAGTTGCTCCTCGCGCCTACGTTATTACGGGTACCGCCAGATCCTTGCCTCGAACGGTCGCGATCGACCGTGGCCTCCCTCCCCCCGGGCAACGGACAGCTGTAGCTGTCGCGACATTAAACGTGAGTTATTATTCCGCTGCGGTTTAACGACGGTTTCGGAATTTTGTGAGGCAGCTGGCGTCAGCAGACCTGCGTCGGCACCTGCACGAAATTTTCGGAAGTCGTCACGATGAGTGGCAGTTGACGACGTTGGACCTGAGTCAACAGTTGCGCGACAACTTCGGAGTCGTCCCATGCGGCAAGTGACAATGGTGGCTCGTCGTCATCTTGCGCGCGTGACTAACGGAGTGTGGCTCGGCAGCTGGCGACAAGGGGCGTGCGTCACTGTGGCGATAATTTCGGAGCTACTGTGGAGAAAAAGTCGGCTGGGGAACTCGCCAGGCGCAAATGGAGTTTGCGTCCGAAAATATCGGTGGACGAGGAGAGACGACACGCGAATTGCCCGACTTAGCGGGGGTTAACTGCCGTCCCGCCCGACCTGAAGTACAGCGGCTTTTACTGCATGGCGGGCGCGTCATCGAATATTTCGGCAGAAGTGCTCGTGGACAGACGGGACTTCAGACTCGCGACACTTACGGACTGCAACGAAAAGCGGAGTGGCCATATCGCACTTAGCAGAAGTGGGACGCAGGCGGCGAGGGAAATCGAGGCAGGTACACCTCGGAAACAACTCGTGCGACGCTGCGTGCCTGGTGTTGTTGCAAGCTGGCCGGCAATATCGAGAGCGGTTTCTCCTGACCAGGGATTTCGTTTTCGGGGACAGCTGCTGACAACCCACGATTAAACGGCGTCCAAGGTACCGTCCGACAATTTCGGAGGGGTCGGTACAGGCTGCCGGGACACACGGGAAGAAACGGTCCAACGGCTAAGCGAGGGTTGAAGAACGTCGTGGGACGAATTAAAAGCTGGTGGAATCGATCTGCAGCCCTACTTCGCCCGAACCTCACCATCCCCACCAAGTTCTAGTTCTGACTCATGCAGTCAACTTGCTTGGCCGAATAACGGGGGTGAACACGTGTCTACCCAGTGCTGGTTAAAGGCACCTGGATTGGTGCTCGTTCGACAGATGTACAGAAAAGACAAAAAAAAGTGGAGCTCGCGGCACTGTTCTACTCCGACAAAAGCGGGCTGGGTGAACGGCACGCGAAAAAGTCGGAGAGCTGCGAGGACAACATGGTGCAGTTTTGTAGGTTTCTCCTGACTCGGGCGTCTACACGAATTGACGGCGCAGCGGCGAAGCTGAGACCGGGAAGCTGTGGAATTTTTGTGGCGTGATAGGCACGGCGGGCTGCAAAACAGTTGGGCGCTAGTTTCCTTTTAATTAAGGATCCCCGACTCCGATAGATTTTGCCTCTCCAACGTGGCCGGGTACGCGCGGGCAACAACGACGATACCCCATCCGACAAAAGCGGACGCTGGGTGAACGGCGGGAAGCGGAATTGTCGGGGGGTGAATACGAAAAATATGACGACGGAGGGAAAGTTGTAGGTGATCCAGCAGATCACTTGAGTGAGAGGTTGAGCCCGTGCACCAATCCACCGCGAATGTCGGAGTCTATTCGGTAGGTACCCGAAAGGGTTTGATATTGTTACATGGAGGCGCGGTGAGCGGTACATTGCCAATGATACCTGGGATTCGCTAAGTGGTTTCGACGGGTATGAAGATGGGTGAACATCGGAGTACCAGGGTTAACGGCGGAAACGTCGGGGCTACACGGCGGAGAATAACTTCGGGACTGCAGCCTCAACCACGAGTTTCGGGGTTATCTTCCTACAAGAAAAAAAAAAGACAAAAAAAGAGTTGAAGCTGAGGGTCTTTCTTCGCTTCTTGGAGTGCGGTTGAGCCGTTGGGGGACTTCGCCTGAAGGGTCACTTTTAAGTCGCCTGGCAAGAAACACAGCGGCGGGGATACCTAGAACTCACTGGTGTTTAAACGTACACCGCGGGAAATTCTTCAGTAAAAGGGAGCGTGGGAGCAGCCGAAGTTTCGGGATTTTACTTGCCGACGACGAGCGATGGGTGAAACATCTGCAAAGCGCCAGTGGGAGTTGCGTGATTTTCAGTTAAACTTCATCGGCGGGAGCAGCTTCGACGACGGAGTCAACGGCGTTGATGCCTCTAGGATCCGTGAAAGTCGGTCTCGGAATACCCAGGTCTAGTCCCCGGTTCCAGATTATGCCCCCAGATGGGTTATGAACTGACGGAAACAGCTGGTGACCGAGTGGGCGGCTATAGTACGACCGAAGATTTCGGAGGAGAACTGCACCTGCAACTGCGGATTTACGGGGCTACGTTTCGAGCGAAAATTTCGGAGTTTAAGAAGGACTTACCGGTTTTACGGCGAGGAGCTCCGACAAATTCGGAGGAGAATTCGGCGTTTGGTTAAACGCGTGCGACGACGACGCATGGCAACACCGCGGGAACTACACGGAGTTTCAAGGGGTACGAACGACTTACGACGAACTGAAGAAGGCGGCAGCAACAGTGACGGGAGGGAGCGACAGCTGTAAATTTTCATCCCTGCCCACGAATCATCGGCGCTTTACGACAAAACTCTCGGAGAATCCATTCCAACTCTGCTACTGACAACTCGCCTTCGACCCGCCCACGACAACTGCATTAATTCTCAACCACGTCAGGTGCTGCCAACTGGAACTGCTGAAGATATCGGCTGATTCTGGCGACGTGAAGACAAAAAAGGTTAAGTTCGAGTATTCGATAATTTGAGTTTCGGTTTTCAGTCTACATCTTCTGGTTCGCCCTTGAAGACTTTTTGGGCACGTCACACCCGGTTTCGTCATCAATTTCCCACACCGACGCCCTCTTGCCTGGGCATCCGCGCTTATTCGTGCGACTTAACACCTGGTTTTTTGTTGGTTTTCATCTCGGCGCAGCAGTGAAACATTTTCTGGTGTGCTTTCTTGGAGGGGGGGAGAAAGTGCGCTGCACTGTTCTTTCCTTGGCGTTTTTCTCGGTCCTTTCTGACTTTGTCAGGTTGCGCCAGCACGACGGACGATCACGATCACACCGACAAGATCGACGGTTTCTGCTACATCGCGATTGAATTTCGCGTCAGCAGTTTCCCTCCCAAAATCGCGTCAGCTTCGACCGTCACATCTACATCTGCTCAATCGACGGCCCACATTCCAACCTTCTCTTCATTTTGGGCCAGATCATCGTCGACCGTCAGATCGAAATCGGACTTCATCAACGGCTTACATTCCAACCTTTTCAAAATTAATGTCCAAGGCATTTCGGCTGTCGGATTCAGCTGAAGAGGAGATCTACGGAATCCTCGCTAGTGTGGGGCCTGTTTCAGTACAGGGCTGCCTTATTTAGAAGCTGGGAGAGTGTAAGGATTTACAAAGCCTTACTGAGGCACTCGTTAGCGAGGCCATCCCGAGGGTCACGCGACGAACCTGTTGGGCCTATTTCGTCGCACCGAACCACCTCCGAGTCGGCCTCCGCTCCAATCGCAACCATCACCGAGCCATCCCATCCCGAACCCCCCGCCTAGCTAGCTTTTCCCCTATTTAGGCCTCGCTACTTCATTGTTTCTTCATTTAGTCATTCTGTAATTCTCATTCTCGTTATTCGATATTCTGCGCACTCTGCAAGTTCATTCATAACAGTAACGATCCCTTTATTCTTGTTACGAGTGCAATTGAGTGAACGAACGAGAATTGCACTATCGAAGCAAGAATACAATGAGCGAAGGCATGAGCGAAGAATATATAGCAAAACTACAGTGGTAACGGTAATGGACTGTGGTTGTCGCGTGACGGGCCTGGGACTGGGGTTGGGGAAAGTATCGAAGCGGAGGCCCGGAGCGCGGGTTACCCGCCGAGCCGTGAGGTCGGGGTGCGACGTGCGAAGGTGGCGGGAGGATTGTCGA